AATGTGTTGCTGATCCCAGAGCAAATAAAAAGAATCTTATAACAAGGAGACTAAAAAAATTAATAACATAATCTAGCAATGCACAAACAGCAATGTCAGAGTACAGGATCATTTTAAATGTGACAGCATCCATACTGAATTAGAGTTAAAAAAATCAATTATAAAAATCTTTATATTACAATTTAATAAGGTGTCAGTATTTCTCTTGTGTAGATTAAAATGTACATCAAATCTGGCAACACATGAATTAGTATTTCACACTAATACTAACACTTTGTACTCCTTTAGTTACTGCAAACACCCCAGAAATTAGCAGAGTCCAAAGGGTATAAAGTCTGTTTTGTTTCCAGTTTTGAAAATCGTTTTAGCTCTGAGATCTTCAGGAAGTCAGACAAGAGAGAAAGCAGTAACAAAACAATCTCTCACATCTGAACAAGTGATACTAGTAAAGCCACGCTGCATTTGTACACACATAACCTATTTCTGTCCAATGCATATTTCTCTCACATGCAACCAGGAATGTTTAGTTTGTTTAAGAGTTTATTTGTGTCAACTCCACCCTGCCTTTAGCCACAGCAATTATTTTTTTTACGAGAAGGTAATATTCTATATTGTCACTTATTTCTAATGCTGACTTTTAGACCAAGATACTGGTTTCAGAGTACAGAGGAAGAGTATTAAGGTATAGTAGTTTGAGTACAGAGCAGAACAGCATCTGGAACAAGAAGAAATTAGTATTTCACAATTCGTTGGGTATAATTTCCACACAAATAATTGATTTATGCAGGAAAATATTTTAACTTTAAGGAATACCATTTAACATTCTAATACACAATGATTTGCCTCGCAATGATGTGGAAAGCATTTCATTTAACAGGGAGGCCTGTGGCTCAGCTGATACAAGTCCCAGACTACTCAGTGACAGGGTCCTGGAAGAAACCTAAGGTGACATGCAGTTGGTCCACACAGGCTACACACTGAATCACAGAATCATAGAACTGTTTAGGTTGGAAAAGACCTCTAAAATCATCAAGTCCAACTGTAAATGTAGAACTGCCAGGTCCACCACTAAACCATGTCCCCAAGTGTCACATTTACATGTCTTTTAAATACCTCCAGAATGGTGACTCCACCACTAGACTCCCGGTCTAGACTGTCTGGCTGAACACCCCTTTTGGAAGAAATTTTTCCTATTATGTGTGTGCTCTTTTGCTAAGAAATATTTAATTACTACCTACCATTCAGTCCGACCTGACTTCTTCTGCCCCTTCTGGATGTTAATACCATCTGCACCACAGTGGGATGCTTCATTTAGCCATAAATGCAGGCACTTACAAATTATTCTGGTTTTGAAAAAAAACTATTTACAGACAAGACATTTTAAGAGACTAGTTTCTGCTTTAGAAATCACACAGGTGAACAGTTCAACAAAAAGGGGTTAAGGAACAGTGCACAGACAGAGGGAATCAGACAGCTGAGAGCAGTAACCCCTTAAGCCAGAGCCACATCAGAAAGGTGCACATATGGTCTTCGTGTAAAAACCTTCTGTCCCACCTATGAGGCGGTAGTACCAATATGTGTGTTACTGACATGCTGAGATATAATTTCAACTGCAGAGCTCATTTTCTCCAAACTCTTCATTTGGTCCTTACCAGCTTTCCTGTTCTCCGTAACAAAACAGCACCACCAAGCCAACTCACGTCTGTAGCAACTGCATTGCTGAAGATGTTACATCTTTGGAAACTCTGCAGGAAGAGGGAGAACTGAAGAAGCTTTAAGATGTACATCCCCCTGCTTCAATTTTCAAAAAGATTCTGTCCTCAGAGTCACCATAAGTATTAATGTTCATAGAATGCCAGTGATAACTCCATCAAAGATACAACTGCCTTAGACATCAGCCAATGCTCACAGCACCCTGGGACACCATCCATAGGGTCCCATGGACTTGTACGAGTTGAGATTGAGTAACTCCCGACTCAACCCTCTCTAATGGTAGTAATTCCACTCCCTCAACCCTTGGAGTAATCACAGAGGCCTGGGAGACCTTGCTGGTGAGGGCAAGACAAAGGTGGCACTAAGTACCTCAAACTTTTCTGTGTCTGCAGTCACCAATCCACCCACCCCACCCAGTAGCAGTCCCATGTTTTCCTTGTTCAAGCTTTTTCCACTAAGGCAGCACTTACGTGTTGGCTTTGCATGGCCAGGTTTTAGTAGTGAGGGGCTACAGAAGGATGGGGGGCTTTTCTGAGAAGCTGCCAGAAGCTTCCCCCTTTTGTGTCTGTGAACATTTGACTATTCCTAACTAGAAGTACATAGACGTATGGATGCTGTAACTGGTAAAACTTCTAGTCTTCTACAAAGTCACAATGACAGGTACCTATGTTAGGTATCTTTATTCTTAATACAAGCATTTCATTTTCATCATTAGATTTAAATGATTTATTTTTCTTTTCACTTTTAAAATGCAGGTTTGGAAGTTACTTAAAAGGAACTGGTTTTCCTCAATATGCTTCAAGTTCTACAGCTGTGCATGGAGGAGAATAAGGAATGAAACTAAATGCTGAGTATACAAAGAGAAAACTATTTTTAAATTTTCTCTTGCAGCACTGGAGAAAGCCATTGGGAATCAGTGCCTGCTTCTCCACTGTTTTGCTTAAACTCTGGAGCTTGAAAGGTACAGCATCCGTACATCTATGTACTTCTAGTTAGGAACAGTCAAATGTTCACAGACACAAAAGGGGGAAGCGTTAGTCTGACATTTCAGACGGTTGTGCACTTTGAAGAGTTAATATTAATACAAGCATTTGAGACAGGGAATCAGGAAATCTAGTTTTGATACCTATACAAACCTCTGCTGCAGTCATGGATTGTCCAGGTACAATGAGGGCTACCCCTCAGCTTCAACAGAACAGCAGGTCTCAGCTATGACTCCAAGGCTCTGAGCTCAGCTAATGAAACACTAAGCATACACACACAATTTATCCTTTTTGTCAGGGGTTAGCACTTGTGGCTTTGGCACTCTCTCACGAGGCCTAAGAAGAATCTTGCCTGGAGCATTCAGTAACATAGACTACAAAGGTAGAGAGGCAGCAAAAGAAAAGACCAACCCAGCAGACAACTGACAGGTAAGAGGCAGATGTGAAGAAATAATGCAACTGAGTTGCCAGGACATCATAGATGAGCAACTTAGCTAGCATGTCTGTGATGGAGGGTGCAGTTTCTGAGTTACCATAAGCCCACTTGAGCTCACTGTCCCTTCTGGACTTGGGCCTCTACCTTCAGAAGAAATGTTCCCCTCACACTTACTTCCATTGCACCAGCACTTGCAGCTGCAAGACAAGTCAGATCAACAGACTAACTCAACAACACAAGAAAAAAACAGCAAGTTCCCAGCAGATTCTGTAACCTGAACAAATCAGCAAGAATTCCTTTGACTTGGCTTCTACTATATGAATTAAAATTTAATTCTTCTTATAATCTTTCTCAGAATAGGCAATTGTGAAGCCCATAATTCTTATTTTAAACACTGAACCCTAAATGGTCTTCAGATTTTAATAATATTTCCTCCCCCCAATTAATATAACACCAACCAGTACCATTAACATTATATATAAGTTCACATTCTAGGTTACATTCTATATGATTTCTTTGACCTAGAGCTTAAGCAACATACAGATATACCTAGACAGGTATACCAGGTATATATATAGATACTCTTAGGTATGGTGGAATAAGAGAAAATATTACTGAAACTAGTAATTGCAAGAATCTCTTCCCAAATATGAAATGCGTTCTCTACAGAATACTTTTAGTTTGAGAGAATGCTTGTGAAAATGCACTTTGAAAACATGACTGGACATTCCATACAATTATTAACCTCTTTTTACAATAAAAAGATGAAGGTAAGTTCGTACAGCATGTATGGCCACAGTTAACATCCTTCTGGTGTTTCTTTATTCTGTTTTCATTTTGTACTTTCCCTCATCCATTCTTTGTGAAAATGACTGCATCCTTCCAAGCATACACGGAAAAGATTTATCTCCAAGGATAGGGATTGTATAAAAGAAACTGCCTAAAAGTCCATACAGAGGCATTTTTTCAGTCATATGCTTACCTATTAAAATAACCTCCTTTAAAAATTCAGAGAATCTGAAAGTTGAATATTGTGTTATACCCAAGTATATATTAAGGATATACTGTAGAGTTAGGAAATTATTTCACTATGCTGACTTTCATTAATGTGCATTATTTGTCATTGTAAGAAATAGTATTTGCTAATACTTAGGAAGCAGAGAATGAATCTATGATTCTATGCTGTCAAGTGAATTATTTCTGTTGGCTTTTAGTAAGTCACAGAATGCATTCAAGTTATTTCTATCGACATGGTAGGAAGTTAACTCCTTCTCTAAATAGGCAGTGCTGAGAAATCATTGAAGTACAGAGCTTTAAATACCTTTTGCCATACTTCCAGAACACTCTTGAAAGACAAAAGGAATAAAGTACTGGCTTCAGTCAAACCAACCGAGAGCTCTTTGATGGGAGCTTACACTCTAAGACTTTTTTACTATTTAACACTAACACCTTCATATTCTAAACCAATACTTACAACACCTTAAGTATATGCATAATTTAGCCTGAAAAGAATTAAACCTTCCTTGTGATACCTCCACTTAAAATCTATATTCCTTCTGAATTATAAAGTACTTACGCTTTTTTAACAGATAATATGCAAATCACACAGGACAGCATGCTAAATAACAATGCACAAATTCTTGTTTTGCATGTTTTCCTTCATTTACATATGATGTGTTTTTCTAAAACAGACATGAAATTTAGACTAACCCTTCTTTCACAGGCTGATGACCGGGAAGTTGAAGCATTCAGAGCAGAACTCCTCAGTAATTCTGCATCTCTTGTTGCCAGAGATACTTAGAAGAGAATATGTTGAACATGAAAGGTTTCATTCTTGATTTGAAAAAAAAAACCAAAAACAAAAAGGAAAATGGCTAACACCAGGTTGGGTTTCTTTTTATTGTTAAAACATTAAAGCATAACATTTCACCAAATACAAGAAAATTAGAGGTTGTCTGACATTACAAACATCTGAATCATCAAGAGAAAGTGTTGAGCTATACATAGTCCGACATTAATCTATCAATTTAATGTATATTAGTACATGCTTAAAACATGGCCAAAACACAGAATCACAAAATAGGTACCTTGATGCTTCTAAATCTGAGACAAGTAAGTCGAAGAATTGAGTGCAATGAATTTCCAACAATTGACTGTACACTCAATTACAACGTCAGGGCATCATTACTCCAGGACATTGGTAGTTTCTCATACCTGGCTCATTCACATTCAATTTAGTGAGAATTTTAGATTTGAGAACTTGATAAAAACATTTTTAAAAATACAACATTTAACAAATGTGAAAAAACAAGTTGTAGTTGTCTTCACAGGAAAATATGGATTGCTTGCCTTTCCAGTCCTTCATTGCCTATACGTTTTACAAATCTTTAGAAAACTATTTTGTATCCATTTTGGTTTCAAAAACATAGTACATCTGAAAAATAAAATATGACTCTACTGATGGGTAATACAAAGACATGAACACGTATTTAAAATGACTTTCAAAAGTAAATCTCTTTAGTAATACAGCTATAAAAGACAAGGTAAACATAGCACAATAAACCATGCATCTTCTGACTTGTCAGATCAGCTAAACTACTTGGTTAACATACAGTAACACTTTGAACACTTCTGCAAATTTAGCTTTTCTAGCACAAGGAGAAAAAAAGATTAAATTTGTTCTTCAAGCGGTTCAAGGTTGTCCAAGTGTTTTTTAGGTGCATCATCACTATGACGGCTTTGGCAATGGGTTAAATGTTTCTTAAAGCCTCGAGGAAAATTTGATTCAAAATTACAACGGGGACACTTCAACAAACTTTGACCATGAGCAGCAACATGGTTTTTAAGAAGAGACTCCAAGAGAAAAGCTTTGCCACATATTTTACATTTGTATGGGCTTTGAACATTATGCTTGTTAACTAAATGGTGCAAGACAGCACCTTTTTTCATTGCACGACAGCAACAAATTTTGCAGTAATACTTTCCCTTGCCACGCTTCATGTATTTTGCTATTTCTTCCTCAGAGATGAAAGCCTCTTTTTCTTCAGTAAACTGCAGCACACACTGTGGCTGCGTGGGAGTAGTTGCATCCATTTTGCTCTCTTTGCCATAATCAGATGACTCCATATCATACTGCTCTTGGTCACTGTTGGATTCTTGTTCCTTTATCTCCATTGAGTCCAACTCTGTTTTTCCACACTCACTGATATTTAGTTCAGAATCTGAGTTCTCCTGGTTTTCCTTCTTGGGCTTCTTTTTTGGGCATGAATATAGCATGTCTTCTGGTGATTCTTTGGCTAATAATGATTGTTCATCCTGTGAGAATAAGTCATCCAGTGGTTTCTGATCATCTAAAGCGTGAGAAAGAAAGTCACTCTCGCCAGACTCGCTAGGTGTTTGGGGCTCGGAGAAAAAGCCTGAAGCAGACTTGTGAGGCTCGGAAAACAGGATATTCTTCTGGATTTCAGAAGGTACAGTAGTTTCAGCATGTCTCTGGACGTCAGAGGATAAAGCAGCAGCAGGTTTCTGCATCTCAGAAAATACAGCGTGCTTTTGAACATCAGGGGAAATAGCAGATTTCTGGGAGTCAGTGAAAACAACTTGTTTGGGTGTCTCAGGAGAAACAGGAGTAGGTTTTTGGGACTCAGTAAAGAGGCCATGTTTCTGAATTTCAGGAGATGTGGATTTCTGAGAGTCTGGAAAGGAAGTAGACTCCTGAACTTCAGAGGAAATGGGAGCAAGTTTCTGGGCTTCAGAAAATAGGGCGTGCTTCTGGACTTCAGAAGAAACAAGAGCTGATTTCTGGGTTTCAGAACACAGGGCTTGTTTTTGACCTTCAGTAGAAAAAGCAGAAGTAGATATTTGATTCTGGGGCTCAGAAAAGACGGCACGTTTCTGGACATCAGTAGAAGCAGTAGGATTAGATTTACGAGACTCTGGGAACAGCACTCTTTTCCGAGGTTCAGGGAAATGAGCCCGTTTCTGAATCTCAGACGAAGCAGCAGAGGTGGATTTCTGAGTTTCAGAAAAATACATAGATTTCCGTGACTCAGAGAGTTTCCAAGGTTCAGGAGATACTGAAATACCGGGCTTACGGACCTCAGGAAAGAAAGGAGGCTTCCAAGAGTCTGAGGAAACAGTGTGACTAGACTTTCGAAGCTCAGGAGAAACAGGGGGAGAATGCTTCCATGTATCAGGGGACAGAACAGGTTTCCAGCCTTCAGGGTAAACAGATGAGATGGGTTTCCATGGCTCAGAAGAAACAAGAGTAGACTTCTGGGATTCAGAAAACGACGTAGACTTACACGAGTCAGAAACAACCCTCCTAGGTTCTGGCAACACAACAGGCCTTCGAGATTCAGGGGCAGACCTCCGGGATTCTATGGACACTGACATGGCAGGCTTTGGAGCCCAGGGAGAAACCGTGGGAGACTTTTGCACCTCGTGAGACCTCCAGGGCTCAGGGGAAACAGTCGGACCAGGTCTCCATGACTCCGGTGAAACCGCAGAAGCAGGCCTCCGGGTTTCAGGAGGAGAAGCAGAAGCAGGCCTACGCATTTGGGAGGGATGCCTCCGTGGCTCAGGAGACCCAGCTGGGGCATACCTCCGTGGTTCAGGGGATACTGCTGGAGTAGGTTTCTTTGGCTCTGGTGACACAGCTGGGGAGTATCTGCGGGGTTCTGGAGACACTGCAGGAGAATGGCGCCGGGGCTCTGGTGATACAGCAGGGGAATGCCGCCGGGGTTCTGGAGACATTGCTGGGGAATGCCGCCGGGGCTCTGGAGACACAGCTGGGGAATGCCGCCGGGGCTCTGGAGACACAGCTGGGGCTGGCTTCTGTGGGTCAGGGGACACAGCAGGAGATGGCTTCTGTGGGTCAGGGGACACAGCAGGAGATGGCTTCAGTTGATCGGGGGACACAGGTGGGGATGGCTTCTGTGGATCAGGGGACACAGCTGAGGCTAACTTCTCTGGATCTGGAGATGTAGCCTGGGCTGATTTTTCTGGATCTGGGGATACAGTCTGGGCTGACTTGTCTGCCTCTGAGGAAGTCACCTGAGCAGATATCTGGGGCTCTGGAGACGCAGAAGATTTCTGAAGCTTGGGGGAAACAACAGGTTCAGATTTGGGGAGTTCAGGAGAAAGGGCAGGTTTGTGCGACTCAGGGGAAAGGGAAGGTTTCTGTGGCTCCAATGTGACACTTTTTTTGGATGAATCTGAATCTCCTTCTACTCGTTCCTTCCGCTCCTCATTCCACTTCTCAGGTGCTGCATGCTGTGCTTTGATGTGATAATACACGTTGCAATACATCTTGCTGGTAAAAAAGCATTTGTGGCAGTGAAACAGTTTTGCACTCTTTTGATAAAATATAAGTTTACCCAAACCAGCAGCATCCATTTCGTCACAATACTCTGGGTGAACGGTACCCATATGAATTTGTATGTTTTCATAGTCCGTTCCTCTGAAGCTGCAGTGGTCACACTCTAAGCGTTCTGTGGTTTTACGGAGTATCTGCAACATGTCCATTTTTCTACGGTCAGTAACAGTTTTCACAGCGCTGCACCTTTTAAAGAGGAAGTTTCAGTTTCTGCAATAAAGGAAAAAATCTGTATAGTCAGTTGTCCATGTTAATTTCAACTCTTTGTCATTCCTAAATAATCAGGTGCATTTCCCCTCCCACGCCTCTTTTTAGAAAGCCTAAGTTTTGCACAGGTACTAATAACTTCATAAAGAAATACAAACATAGGTGTCTCCAACTCTGGAATTCATTTTACATCAGCTGAGCTTGAAAAAAACAAAGCTAATATTTAATGATAGGCTTTCCTACCTCTGTAAAAAATCTGGAAGCAAACGATAAAAAAAAAGAACCCAGGTGATATTTCACTTGATAAACCTGACTTGCTTTCTCCATTACACAAGTAAACTGAAAACAAAAAGCCCTTTGAAATACTGCCACTGAGATAAAGACATTTCAAAAACACACCTTCATCATTAAATTTCAAAACAAATCAGCAATTTTTGACAAAGACAAAAAAAATTCAAGAAAACAGCAGCCTAAATCCTAGGCCCTGTTTTCATCTGTTAAACACTGTTTTCCTTTCACTAATTACATGAAAAAAATGCTGCTGATCATAAAAACTTTATCCATTATAAAAAGAATCGTTTCCATTCCATTATTTCATTTGCTGCCCTAATAACAACAAAAATACTATTTAAGAAAAACAACAGGGTGTTTTCTTCAGTTGGTGTAGTTGACAGTCCTATGTATCAAAAGCATTTTTTGCCTCACTACAAAGAGAAAGACGAGAATTTCTCAAAATTATTGCATTTGTAAGACCTTAAAAAAAAACAAAGTAACAACAAAATAACCTCGACAACAAACCAACCAACCAAACAAGCACCCCAAAAACAAACACAACCCCCCCCAGAAATGCAGCATCTGAAATGCAATTATCTTTTAATGATTTGGCTAGATTCCACTATTTCCAACAGAATTTATCTGGATCAGCTACTACAATAAGCTGAAAACCATATTCTGTAAGTTATATTCACATAAAAGTGGAAAGTAAAAAGGAATTGTTGGACATTTAAGTGAAATGAACAGGTTTTTTTCTCTAAGTTGAAATTAAACAGTTGTTACGTGATTATCATGCTAAGCCATCAACCTAATTTTGGGGGGTCTTGTAAGACACACTGCTTCAAAACACTCAAAATCTTTGTGTCATTTTAACACTAATTTTCCTGTCTAAATATATATTAGACTAAAAACAAATCTAAAAATATGCATTCAAGCAAGTTTCCTTAATTTATTCCTAAGGCATTTTTACCCTTGTTTCTCATGGAAATGAGGCTTACACAAACACTTTGCCCTATAGTCAACGCCAATCAAACTAGACAAAGCAATCCAGCCTTGTTTTACATTTCTACACATTTCAAGAAAATCAGGAACTGAGTAGAGAATGAAAGCAATGCCTCCACTGAGGCTACAGCCGAATATGTCATTTCACAGTGCCTGGTTCTGTTTAGCCTCTGCACAAATGGTCAGTATGCAAAAACACGCAGAACAAGCAGTGTCTGATTCAGCCTGTAATTAGGGAGAAAGAGACAATTAAAAATACTACAGCAGTGAGATGCTTTGGGTTTGGGGCAGGGACAGAATGGAAGCAAATTAGCAGTGCTGCTAAAGGATGAGATGGATACAGCAAAAAAAAACAAGAAAGAGGGACAGGCTGAGAAGCAGAGGACACAAATCCCTAAGAAATAAAGGTTCACTAGCTCAGCTGCTCATGGAACAACTTCTTTGCATGCAGTGTGCATACACACTTCACATTAAGTCACAGGAACAGGTAGATTTCCAATTGGGAAGCATAGCAGGACCACAGACAGAGCTTTAAGAAGGATCCTACTTTACAACTATGAGACAAATGCACAGCACCCAACTGCAGTCCAGCTGCACATGAGAAGTGCACTGCTCCACAAACACTGAAGTGGGAGGACCTTCAGGGTGTAAGTTGCAGTTTCCCAGTGCTACCGGCAGCCATACAAAAGACACCTCAAAATGTAGTACACACCGCATTCAGTGTTGACCATGAAACACTTCCTGAAGTCTTAAAACAAACTTTTTATTCCTGCAAAAGATCAAAACAAAACAGAAAGATAGAGTACAGTGGTCTGTAACTGCAAGAGCAAATAACTTGCCAATTGTAAAAACCCAAAGCAAGTCATGTCTTACTTAACACTCCAAAAGACCTTCAAGTCTTTATGAATTACAGTGTATGTTTTGTTTGGGGGATTTGGCACGATGGTAGGAATGGAAGATTTCAATTTGAAAGCCAAAAATTCTGAATTGCTTATACAAGGTAAATAAAAAGGAGGCTTTTTTACCAAATCACAGCAGAACGTAATTAGGACATACTGCACTAATCGCATTTTTAGACTTGAAAGGGATTTTGTCAATTCCAAAATTGATGGTAATCCTGAATTATCCATTTTCTTCTCTCTAGAAAACAAAAAAGGATTTTCCAAATTGAATTTACCACAGCTTACAACAAAATCTACCAGACAATATTTGCTATTGTCTTCACAACTTCCCTCCCCTTCGCACATCACCTAACTTTTGCCATTTCTGCAGTTTTCTGTAATTCACTCAACTACACTCCCTATCTCCCATCCTCTCCTTTTATTCAGTTCTATCTTACCTTATGATGAAACTTTCCATTTTCTTTCCAAATACAACAGTGAGAAAGAGTCCCTGGCTCCCTTCCAAAACTTGTCCAAGTTGCTGCTAAGCTTTTTTGACCACGAGAGTATTTTGGAACCAAAGAAGTTACAGGCACAGCCCAGACATCCAAAGGTCTTGACATTCAAGCCTTTGGCATAAGAAATAACATTAAAGAGTTCTTACACTGCCATCACTCAGCATTTGTAGTTTTGTAACTTCAGCCCACTGTAGCTGGCAGTCACTGAAGAAACTGCCTCTTCTGTTGAAATCTCTATCTATTTAAGGCATACTACTGAGCAAGACAACTCTTTGTTATTGCAGCATCTTAGGCCATGAGTATACGGAACAGTAAATCTAGTTTTAGAATAGTTACTGTGAGATCAGTAACAAACTTAAACAGCACTGAGCTACTACTAACTCATGCTGTCAATTTAAATTTGTTGAAACACTTCTGAGGGAATGAACTCTGAGATGTTGCTGGTTCACTTAGCATATATCTAAACAGCTAGTCTGAAAGACTGTCCTGTCAATCCCTCCTATCCCTTCTCTCTTTGAGCTCCAATGCCACTGTCTCTACATGAAAGACTGTCCTGTCAATCCCTCCTCTCCCTTCTCTCTTTGAGCTCCAATGCCACTGTCTCTACATGGCTCTGTTTGATGCTCTCCTCTATACTCAGGTTTATCACACTGACAACTGTCTGCTTCACACTGCTCTTTGCCGCCTACTCCTGCACCAGAACTTGTTCTGCACTAGGTCCTGTATTTCGGTGAAAGTGTAAGGAACAACACGTCATTGTTTTCTAAACAGTTCCACACCAGCAGAGCCAGCCAATCTAGAAACCATATGCTCAGTAACCAGGTCTCCATGGCTTTGGACCTGCATGAACTGTGATGGAATCTGTGCTCAGCAGCATCTTTTTGGCAACACTAAGAGAGATGGACCACACTCCCTCAGTGTAAATGAACTACTACAGACATTAAAGGGAACTAGATCTGCACTGCTCCAACTCAAACCCATAAAAAGGGTAAAGAAAATAACTGGTGTGATCAATTTGTCAGGGTGCTCCATGTGCACTGTAGAGAATGGGACCAAGTACTTAATCCAAACATCATTCTAGCCTTCTGAAGCCCTTTGAGGAAGAGTATGAATTTCAGGATGAAGATCAAATTGCCATGAGCAACAGGTCCCCCATGAAACAAAGCAGAAGGGAGATGGCCACTAGAGTATGTCTCAGGCCTGCCTGAATACTCCTGGGAGCAACAAAGAAGCTGCCACCCATGCACATATAGATAACTGCTGTGCAGGCCCCAGGCCACTCTGTTTTGCTGAACACTCTGCCAGGCCATACATATATTGTAAAAAGAACAGTTGAGCATCACCCCTACACAAACTCTCAATTACAGGATATGCAGTGCAGCAGTGGCTACAGCTGAGGCTGCATGCCACTTCAACACCACAAAGCACAACGCATTCCTTAATTGATCTTTCTGCATCCCCTCCTACTTTTCTCACTTTTCATGGCTGCAACACTGAGAAAACAAATACAGATGCGGCCAAACAGAACTAATTATCTGCTCCGAGAACACATTACAAATTGAGAACACATTACAAATTACAATCGTAGCAGAAGCCTGAAGCCCAGCATTTATGCTTGTCCTGTGTCTGCATCCTGCCTCCAGTTCAAGACGAAATACTATGATTCAACTAAGATTCTGAAGTTTGCAATACTAAACTTAAGGCAGCCAAGACTCATTCAGAGTCTTCCTATGACATGAAGTTTTCCACTGAAATCTACCTGAACAGATAAGTGCTTCTGTCTATAAGCTCACTATATCCACAGATGTCAAGCACAGTAACAGCATCAGCACCAACCCAGCTCTTAGATGACCTGAAGTGACACAAATCAATGGCCATCACTCACATTAAAAGCTGCTCGAAGAGATACAGAAGTCTCAGTGGTGGGACCACCAGTCTCTCCTGCTCCATCAGCCACCTATCCCCCCCCTCTTCTTTCACACATCTAGAACCTACATACGTCTAGAACTTACATACAAAGGTTCCTACCATCAGCTCTCTCTCCACAGAGATGCTGAAGATCCTTACACCAGTTCCTTGTCCCCTACACTGCAGTCCTGGCCATAATCTCCTCCATCACAGGAAAAACAGAAAAATAGCAGGGGGAAAGGATTGGAAATGAGGACACTTATCTACCTAGAAAAGAACAACCATCACTATTTTCTTGCTTGGTGCTCAGCACCCAAGAGATTAAAGTCATGATTTAGCAGACGGAAGCACCCAAGAAGTCAGAGGCAATGAGATAAATGCAAATTTATCAACCAAAAGTTGGTTACATATATTGCAGGGCAACTGCAGAGCAGAGTCAAACAGCATCAGAAATCCCTGTTGAGCTCATGTTAGACTGAGAAACAGGAATGTCCTAAGCTAATGCATAGAGCGGAGAGATCTCCTGATGTCTTCCCAGTCAACACACACAGGCACTTCAGAAACAGTTCCTGGATTCCACATCCCATCTTCCATAAGGATCTCACTAAAGATTAAGCCATAATTCCTGCAGCCTTTCAGAAACCTCCCCGTGGAAAAAAAGAAATGCACAGGAGATATAAGAATGAGTCCACACAGGGAATGGCACAACACTGGCTCTAGCAGCGAACAACCTGTCTCCACTTCTCAATTTCATAGCTACAAGTCTACCAATCATTCCTGATAATTTTTAATAAACACACTCTACACTCAGCATTGCAACATTTAATATATGTCTGCATTTTTCCTCTACAGAGGTTAAGCTGTAACTGTCATGAGGCAGCACGACAGGGAAGCAGTCAGGGCTCAAAACTAAAGATGTAGACTGCCTGTGAGCACAGAAAATTACAGGTTGCTTTTAATATTCCATGAAGAATTTCAGAACACAGCAACAAGTAGTCCGTCATATCATTGCTCAGATAAGGCTGTCTTGGTTCTCACTGGCAGAAGGCTCTAGAACTCTTTTCCTCTCAATAAATAATCAAGCCTGGTGAGACTCAAGCAGACAGAGGACATGCAACACACATCGATGACACCAAAACAACTGGGAAAACCCTCCAGAAGAAAACCCTGTGATTTTTCTGCAACGCCCTGCATTGGATTCCCTGTATCAGCCCCTGCACAGGAAGGATCACTGTTTAATTTTCATCGGCCTTGGAAGTTTTGTATAGGCAACCAGATCAGCAATATCCTCTATCAGTGAAGAGGGTCAATGGTAAGTGTGTTCCCAGCACAAGAAAGCTGGATAGTTGCTTCACTGCCTCTGCTAGCAGGAGCAGATCCAGACTACTGCTGTGTTTAAGCAAAAGGAAAAGTGACATGTTCTGCAGTGCCAAAAAGTAAATGGCAGTCTGGTGGCAGCATGGTGCTTCTCTTGAAGCTACATCCCTGTGTTGTGACTGACAAACAGAAGTTTAGCTACCAGAGGAAGCTGCACACAAACATCCCTACAGTGTGGCAGAGCAGGCGCTTCACAATGCACATGGCAGGTACGGGGGTCACTTCCAATGCACCATGAACAGGACAGGCAGCACTATGCTCCTGCTAATCCAGAAGCGTCCACAGGAATTTGACTGCATCTTCACCATCTGAACTCCCAGCTAACAGTCAATCTATTTGGGTTAAGTTCCACGAGCAACAATTGCTGAACCAGGTCTTTAAAACTGCACACCTAAACAAGGCACAAACACCCTGACCCAACCAGCCACTGAATGCTAAGATATGCTGAGAATATGGGAGACACCAGATCCAGGAATGAAATGGCTATATTATGAGGTTCCATGTTTTCAAGGTTCAAGTTACAGGAGAGTTGCAAAGTGACAATACTTGATGCACATGCAAATGATTTAAGAAACAAAGTGGCCAGAACTGGAGCTCTTTTGCAAGATTTCGCTCTTCATTATGAGATTGACAATTCTCTTCATCAAGAGAATAACATTAGTTCTCAACACAACATCTAATAACAGTCTAAACTGCAGAGTAAAATCAATGTACCTATGACAGATTTGGGATAGAAAAAAATTAACTCCATGTAATTCTGACAAGGATTTCTAACTCCAAGTTCACAATTCCACGTGCACGGCTTCCAAAAATGACCCCAGAAATGCTACTGCTGCAGTGCTGAACCTGAGCTGGTGAAGTGCCACTGGACCCACTAGAGCATTTAATCTAGTCAGGAACTGTGAATTAAGGTTGAGAATCTTGGTGACATGAGGGTAAGAATTTCATTTACACTGCTCTGAAAGCAAATGGGGTTCAAGGGGAGATTACGTAAGAGAAAAATGAAATCCAAAGTTTCTATATTCCTCACTTATAAACAATTCACAGAATCAGAGAATTCAATTAGACTGGAAAAGACCTCTGAGATCATCAAGTCCAACTATGACTGATCACCACCACGTCCACTAGACCATGGCACTCAGTACCACATCCGGTCTTTCCTTAAACACCTTCAGGGACAGTGACTCCACCACCCCCCAGGGCAGCCCATTCCAGCATCTAATCACCCTTTCTGCGAAGAATTTCTTTCCAATGTTCAACCCAAACCTCCCCTGGCGCTGCTGGAGACTATGTCCTCTCATGCTGTCGCTGGTTGCCTGGGAGAAGAGGCCGATCCCCACCTGGCTACAACCTCTTGTCAGACGGTTGCAAAGTGATAAGATCACTCACCCTTGAGCCTCCTCTTCTCCAGGCTAAACACCCCCAGCTCCCTGAGCCGCTCCTCCCAGGACATGCGTCCCAGAATCGTGCACGTTGTGAGCCCTGGCTCTGCACCTGCTTCCCTGCTCCCACGTGCGACGCAGCCGCTCCTGGCAGCTATTTCTGTCATCAGGGAAGGGCCTGGTCCCGGCGGGGACACGTCCCGTGCCGTACTCGCTATCCCAGGACAGCAGATCCGGCAGCGTGTCCGTCCCGCCCCTCGCCCCGCCGGCACCGCTGCAACTTTCCCGCGGGCAGCGGGTGCCTGCGGGCCCGGCGCTCCCGGCTCCGCGCTGCCCGGCCCTGCCGGCGCCGGGGGTAACGCCGCCCGCCCATTCATTCCCGCCCCGCTGGGCGCTCTCCCCCGCCGCCTCCCCTCTCCCTCCCTGCCGTGCGCGGCCCCGCCGGTTTTGTTCCCCCCGCGCCGGCACCGGCTGCCGTCGCCCCGCGCGCGGCGGGGTCCGGTCTAGGGGAAGGCCCAGGCGCGGTGCGCAGGGGGAGGGAGGGAGCGCGGCGGCCCCCCGGGCGGGAGCGGGGGCGCGCGGGCCCCGCCGGCCGCACTCACCGCTCGGCAGCTCCGGGGCGGCGGGCGCGGGCCGGGGGGGCCGGGCCGGGCTCCCCCCGCCAATGGCGGCGGCGGCGGCGGGAGGCGGGGCCGGGTCACGTGCGCGGCGGCGGCAGAGACGGGGGCGGGGCCGGGCCGCGGCGCCCTCCGCGCCCGCCGGCAGGGGGCGCTGCAGCACCGGGGGGGCCCGGCCTCCCCTGGGGGCTCGCAGTGGAGTTCGTCCGGGGTGGAGACAGTCACAGATCCCAAAACACAGAAACACGGGGGCACAGAAACACAGATCGGGTTAGAAAGACCTCTCAGATCATCGGGTCCAACCTATGACCAAACACCACCATGCCAACCATGGCACTCAGTGCCATGTGCATTCTTGCCTTAAACATCTCCAGGCAAGGTGACTCCACCACCTCCCTCGGCAGCACATTCCAGTGTATAATCGCCCTTTCTGTGAAGAATTACTTCCTAATGTCCAACCTAACCTCCACTGGCACTGCTTAACACTGTGTCCTCTCATCCTGTCACTAGTTGCCAGGGAGAAGAGACCTCCTTTCATGAAGTTTTAGAGTGATAAGGTTACCCCTGAGCCTTCTTTTCTCCAGGCTAAACAACCCCAGCTCTCTCAGTTGCTCCTCACAGGACTTATGTTCCAGACCCTTCACCAGCTTTGTTGCCCTTCTCTGCATCTGCTCCAGCACCTCACTGTCCTTCCTGAACAGAGGGACCCAGAATTCAACACAGGATTCAAGATGTGGCTTCACCACTGCTGAGTAGGCCACACCTCAAGTACTGTGTCCACTTCTGGGCCACTCAATTCAGGAAGTGCTTTTTGTCTTTTGGGTGTTTTTTTGGTTTTTTTACAGTGCCTTTTGTTCAGTGTGGAGAGAATCACACAATCAATGAGGCTGGAAAAGACCTCTGAAATCATTGAGTCCACCCTATGACCGAACACCACCACATCAACCAGACCAGGACAATAAGTGCCATATCCAGTCTTTCCTTAAAACACCTCCAGTGATGGAAAGATTCCCTGGAGACTGAGGGCTGACCATATTGCTCTCTACAGCTTCCCTAGGAAGAGAAGTGGAGAGAGAGGTGCTGAGCTCTTCTGTGTGGTACCCAGTAATATGATATATGGGAATGGCTCAAAGCTGCCCCAGGGAGGTTTTGACTGGACACTTGGAAGCATTTCCTTACTGACACCAGCCACTGTGTCAGGAAGCATTTATCAGTGATCTGTTGCACCTCACCAGTTGCTTGGATAGAAGCAGTATTTTTTCATCAGTTTTAGCTAAGTTTTCAAGAAAATCAATCCCACATGCTGTGAAAATGTAGCAAAAGTGTAGTGATCAACCACAATTACTGACCGATGAGGAATTTTTTTCTTTATTCTGTCTCTAGATCCCAATGAGAAATCTAGCGCTGCAGGCTGGGTACCTGCCTGTTCTTCTGTATAGTCATGTCCCAGGCTCATTTCCCTTTGACTATAGGTTATATATTAATTGTTGCCATGTCCTTTAGTTCAAACCCACCTTCCTTGTTCCCTGATTTCAGCTGTCTCCCATATGATGTGCTCTTGGGGAGCAGGAGCTTTCTCAGTCTTCCCTCCTTCTTTGTCCTGATCGCCCCCTTACTGACATCTTGAAAGCATCTTCCCTGAACAGTGATAAGCAGCTTTTTGGGTGCCCTGGGGGAGGTCTTGGGGGCATGCTGTGAAGGTGCAAGTTTTTCCTATGTCTATGGGACTTGCAGTGCCTGACACACTTGAGGACAGTGACTGACTTTCCCAGAACCTTAACCTGTTGTGGATTGTGGTTTTCCCATGACTAACTTAAAAAACCAAATGTTTATTTCCATCCAAGTCTTCAGTTAAGAGCACTCTTGCTACTCATCCCTCCTGTACTTGCTTTTTATCTGTGTTTGATTACTCAAAATGTCACTAGCTGACTCCTGCCTTGGTCATTTTTTGGAAATAGCGTGTAAAGTCAATCCAAACCCAGCTAATAACCTGTTTTCACTATTATTCTCATTTAATCCTGAGATCTCAGTCTTTTTCTGGTTTGCCAGCTCTTTTCACCCAGCTCACGGTTTTTGAATTAATTTCTAGCTTCTGTAGTTTATCTAATAATTTCCATTTAGCATGGAATTAATTAAACAATTAATAAATTCCAAACAAACGAGGTGTACCCCATTTATTACATTCTTCTTGGCCAAACTAAGTAAATTTCTCTTCTTTTTCCATGCTGTTGATATCTGTAGGTGATTTTGGAATACTTGAAGGATTTCTTTTCAGCCTAGCCAAGAGGTTTTCCCAAAGAAGGTGAAGAAACTCCATTGAGATTTTTTTGCTGGATTAGCAATTACAGAGCAAGTACTGGACTAGAAAACAGAGATAGAGAATACATAAAGCACTAGAAGCCACCTCAGTGAATAACTTTTTTTTTTTAATAGACTTTTTCTGTACTGTATAGTGAAACATTTTTTGTAACTTGTTAAGAACTTTTTTCCTCTACATCTAGCAATTTCATTTGATTTATGAAATCATGCTAAAATTCCATAGGTCTTCCCCCTTTCAGTTAATATTATTCTGAAAGATGCTTGAATATAGTTTGCAGTTCTAGATTATCTTTTTTTTTTTTTTTTGCATAAGCAAAATGTAAAAAAAGATCATATTCACTTGTGAACTCAGTGAAAATGTTAACAGATTGAAGGCATGGAGTATAATCATACAAGACAGCTATTTTGTTTCATTTAATTCTTTCCCTTAGGCCTCTAAATTACTTTCTGAAATTGCCTTTTTTCTTCTTATTATGTGCTAGCGACTGTAACTAATAGAGCAACAAACCTGTTACCTAACATGGTAGCTATGGAGAGCTCACAATTCATTGGCAGTATGTCTTAAATACTCCTGAATACATTTCTACCTTATGTAACGTATTCCCAAGTGTTTTCTTCCTCGCTATTTGATCTTTAACTAAGGAACTTAAAAGTTTTCAATACACAATCAACTTTAATGTTTGTATTGTAGAATAGTATTATAACTTAAGGAAACAACACTGAGTGTATTCAGCTTTGGAAGTGTTTCCATTTTTCCTTTGATATCCCGATTTTCTTGTCTGAATGCCTTAGAACATAATTATACACATACTCTTGTTTCTGGATGCTGCTGACCTTCAACAGCAGACAAAAACACGCAAGAACTTCCAGCAGATAATGTCAGGTATCAGTGCCCATATTCAAGTTCACTGTTCAGAAACAATGTGGGGTGGAACTTCAGTTTCATTCAGTAGAACCATCTGCATTGCTGCATAACAGAGCTGGAAAGCAGCACAACACAGAGACCTGGGCACAGATCTGTAGTAACAGGCCAGGCCCTTGATGCTGTAAGACCCCAAAAAATCCCACCTTCAGGTTTTATGCAGAAGATTCATATTTCACTTTTGAATATATAAACATTTTTAAAGAAAAGGAGAAAAAAGAACCTTCAATTTCTGCATGTTTTTATATCTCCTGCCTTCTGCACATGCTGGGAGGTGTTTATGGATCTTGCATGGACCATGAGTCAATCTGCCATTTTTGTACTAGCATATAAAACCCCTCTGAAGTTAGTCTTTACTCTCTCTCGGAGAGTATTTATTTTTTCCCTAATCAAGGTTGCTAGTTGCAATTGAGCAAAGAACACTGCAGTCCAATGTCTTCTGTGTTTGTGTCAATTTAAATCAAAATACCATATTTATATATGTAACAGTAACGACCCTTTGATAGTATTTTCCTAATTGTAGGTGAGATATGCAAATGGGACATGTTCAGGAGATTGGAATGTGGCCTAATGAAGTGTACACCACAAAATATATCTAGAAAATATTTATTTTTTAGTTATGTAGCAGTGAAGAGGTTTGGGAGAGTTAAACTGTTAAGAGAGAAACAAGCACTTGGTAATAAGAAGATGACATTTTCAGTCTTCAAGAAGAACTTCAATGAAAAGCCCAAGTGGATGCAGGGAAGACAGAGTACATGCCTTTAAGTCACTTGGAAATGATCAGATAAGACTCAATAGGTTTCCCATTTGTTTCACATATTCTTTCTTTCAAATGAAACCATTATAATATGAATAAAAATAACTTGAGAATTTTAAGTTTCTCCTCTCATCATTGAAGACTCAAACAGCACCACCCAACTCACAAATCATATTTCCCACTGATTTTTAACATTCCATCAGGTTTGGGGAGGGAAGTACTTTTTTTCCTTTTTAAGCATGTTTTATTCTGATGTTCAATATCATTTTGTGCATAGAAAGTGGGTTTTGTCCTGTTAATATTTCAGGCTTTTGTTTGGGCTGTTCAGGACTAATGCTGCAAGTAGAGGCCGGCAGAGAAACTCCAGGAAAAGCAGTGTTAGCTTAACCACGGCTGGTGAGATGAGCCATTGACCTCTAAAGACTCTCCAAAAACAACTTACAGCCATTTGGTTTTAAATGAAAAGAAGCGACAGAATGTATTTGAAAACTGAATGTGATGTCAGTACAATGTTTTGGAATTGAAGAAGCTTCTATTTAAAACTGCATCAGGCACAAATGCAGGTTTATTTACTGAATATTGACATTCCAAATCAGTTTCCCCAACAGAATGGAGCCCAATCTCCATTTGACAGACAGGGTGATTTCCATATTCCTAAATGTCACACTTTGGGACTCAACAAGAAACAGGACAACAGAAATTCAGTGAAGCTATCGAGTGGGCAATATTAAATGTAGAAGACAATCTTTTAAATTTTTTAATTATTAAATGTAGAACATTGTATTTTAAAGGCAAGAAAAACAGATGGCACCAAAGTCAGCTGTGATGTAATCAGATACAATTCCCATTCAGTGGGGATGCTGTCTCTACTTTCAGCTAAGCTGAATTTGCAAAACAAAGTTACTATTGTGGCAATGAAGCTCTCACAGCACGCTGAGTTCGAACAAAGGCGGGCTGTGAGCCTGCATTTATTTGTTGTCATCGGGAGAAGCAGAAAGGAGCACAGAGCAGGTGGCAGCTCCTCCTGCTCAGCTGCCCCAGCAAGGGAAGCAGGCTCAGGCCCTGCTGCATTCCTGAGCAGGTGAGATTGGACCGCGGACTTAGAAATGTGTTCTGATTCTTTAGTCATTGTATTTTGCAGAATTACCATGAGATACATGCTCGATTCCAGCAGGCAGTCTTCCCTGAAGATACTGCTGGCAGCTCCCATCCCAAAGCCGATCCCTGCTCCCACAGGTCCTGCTGGCACTGCCCGAGACGGCCATCGGCACAGAGAGGGGAAGCTCAGCGACGGCGTTTCCTCTGTTGGCAGGATGCATTTCTTTTCCACTCGGGGTCACACTTTAGCAGAGAGCCTGCGGGCAGCGCTCCCGTGCACCCTGGACGCCTGGTGTCCCCGGGCTGCCTTGCTGTTCCCATGTCTCCTGACCTGCTTGTGGCACGCGTTAGTTGGCCATACAAGTGTTAGCTGGCTATAGAAATGGTCAGATCCTGCTGTCGTGGCCAGTACTTTCTACTGCCCCCGTCCCCCCAGGATGTGAAAGGAATAGACGCCAGTATCTGCTGAATAAGATAAGTTGTCCCAAGAGTTCCTTAACTGAGATGAAACTAAAACCAAATGATTCTCTAGCAGCAGTTTTACTTAATCTTGAAGTAATTTTGGCAGCTCACTTATGTAGCTTGATATTAAAATTCTTCTTAACCATATTTTTATCTGCTTCTGAAGGATACAAAGCAGCATAATAACATCTTACTTAATTTTTCTGGACTAGCAGATGAAAAAATAGCTGAATATTGCATCTCAAAATCATAGTCAAAATCTTTTTTCTTTTATTCTATTTAATGTTTAGTATCTGGGAAAATACAATAAATAATTTTTCAGTCTAGAACAACTAGATGTTACGCTTACTAGTAAAATGTTCAAAGAAGATGAAAAAATAAATTAGTATCTTACTATTTAACTTCAGGGATAAAGCAGGTCTCAGTTTTAGACAACTGAGAAATTTTCAGCCATGAAAGGCAAATGGAATGTATTCTGCCTTTCCATAAACAAATGGCTATCATTGAAACCAATAGAAGATATACATACACACACACATATACATATATATATATGTACACGTGCCTGCATCAGAGGGCAGAATTTGTCCTAGATCTTACAAAATGGTAGGGCGCAGTTGACATCCATGTGTGTTTAATTTTTTAACAAATAGAACTGCAGAATGTTCATTTTTCAAATCCCGTAACTGCAACTTATATGAAACATTAGCATATAAAATATCATCACTGTACAACCACTTTTTTTTTTCAAAAGCCAGTGTCAAAACCATAAAAAACAGCTAATTCATTAAAACCAGTGCTGAGGTTTGCGTTAGCTTTCTTCTATTTTAAGCACAAGAAATCGATTAAAAACTAAAAGGCAAAAGTGGCTCAGAAAATGACAAACTTTACTAACACTTATCTGACGCTAGAGTTAATTCAAAAACAATGTAAACACAATGAGGTACAGATACCAATGGTCATTCCTCACAGCTCTGCAAACTGTGGGCCTTATCCTGCAAACACCACTGGCTCCAGACTCCAGAGCTTCCTCCCAGGGCCAGTCACACTGAGTCCAACCACAACTCCCTGCAGCAGCCCCTGCTGCTGCTCTTTGCAGGAAGGGGTCCTGTGACCCTCATGTCATGCACCAAAAACATTTAAAGTGCCTCAGATTTCAAACTGATGCAAATTTACATTTCATTTCTTTAGAGCTGAAAAGGTGAAATAGCTTATGTAAAGTCTTATATAAATACTCCTTTAAAACTGTTAGAGGTTTTATATTTCAAGGTAAATATAATAAAATATTTGAACTGCTTTTAAATTAGGCAAATAGCGTTTGTGCTGCTTTTTGTAAAAATGCAACAATATTCCTTTGCTGTAAGATATTTTATATATTTCCAGTCACTCTTCCCTTTATTTTACAGAAAGTAAGAGGCAGAGCTATTATAATTTTGTTGGTGCAATTGCCTGTGAAGTTCTGAAACAGCCCAATGGATTTTTTTGTCATGACACTGAATCTTAAATTCATCCCTTTCCACAAGACTTTCCTCCAGCTTGTTTTATTCTCCTTCTTCAGTCTTCTCAGCTCCAGCTGAATTATCTGCCTCATACTTTTTATCAAGAGCATCTTCAAAAGATTTCCCACTGCAGTCATAGGTTTTACTTGTAGGTCCCATATGTGTTCGGATGCGAGCTCCTGGCTGGTATAACTGCATGGCTGGGCGATCCTAGAAGGAAGGAGATGTGGTTAATGCTCTGAGAAACCCATGTGAGACACATATGTGGGATTTTAAAGTTTTGAATCTTTATGAAGAAAGTAGATTTTGTGTTAAATTACTTTACAATTCATAAGACCCGGGAAAAAAATGGAGTGTAATGAAAATTGACTGAGTATTCGGTATTTATGTTGTTTTATAACACTATTCTTGGGAACCAAGCATTTTGAATAAATGAAGAAAGCTGTAAAAATTAAAGATCCTATAATACATTTGACATAAACAAGAAGAAATACTGCACACAATTATGAAACATGGTATTACAGGTAAAACAAGAAAAATGTTGCTACTTTCACTAACATCAACTGAGAACAACAATAGCCTGTGCACTTGCAACTCTGCAGATGAATGACTGTGGCAGGAGAGCCCTCTCACCCGTGACAATGACAAATATTAAATACAAGCATAAAAGCCCAAGATAAGCCAGAGAACAATTTAGCAGGCATAGCTAAAAAATTATCCTCAACTGATCATCAAGTATTAGCACAATTTAAACATGCAATGCACATTTGAATTATACACATCAAAATAAAAATTGCATAGTTATTGCCCTACTTCATCATGCCTTCCCATACTGACTATGAGAGCAGGGAATTCATGCACTGGTAATAAACAAAGTAAGTAAAATTTGAGCATGGGCAGATTCTGTGAGTGACCCAATCATACACATGCTGATCTGATGATGGGAAAACGGAAGAAGGAGCCAGTTTACAAGGAAAAGACACTTCAAACCTGCAAATGGTGAAGCTCTTCATAGCTCTTGAGATTACTTTTTATTCTTGAAACATACTGTTTAGAAACTCTGCTTAAGAAGTCTTTTACTATTAAGAGTATTTTACTCTCACAAATACCAATTTTTAATGTTATGAAGCAACTGAAAGCTCACCAAAACCTGAGCTTTTTGATCAAAGACTCATGTTAAGTTTAGCAAACAGCCTATTTGAAGACAGTGGCAGAGCAGTGAAATTTTCCTACATTATACTATACTAATTTCCAACGGCCATCATAATTTGAAGTCATTCTGGTCTTTTGTTCTTTCATTCTTTTTTCTCATTCACAGCATGCATTTTCCCCTTTCCTTTCTTTTTCCTTCACCTTTGTCTTTTTTTGCTCAACTTTTTTTCTCCTTCTCTTTAAACCGTATGTCAAGATTCACTATTGGGCTTTACAACCAGATCATTCTAGTTAGTGCATTGTAGTGTGGTATAAAATGTGTAACATATACCTTTCTATATCACAAACAGCTGCATAAAACTAGATCCTCTGACAAGCAGTGCCCATTAGAAAGTTTATGATAAAGGGCCCAAACGACTTTTCTTACCACAGACTCCATAACCCACAGTTTGCAGGAAAGATGGCACAATGTTACTTACACTGGACATTTCTCATTTACTAATTAGTTCTTACAAACTTCAGAAAGAAGCTCAATCTCTGACTGAAAATTTGTGTTGGCATTGTCAATTCTATACCTAAGTTGTAAAACTAAGGTTTACAACTAAACTTTACAACTAATCCCCTAATCTTACCTAGGTGATAAATATCCTAAGGAAAAAGGTCACCAGACTGCACAGTGCTTATTTTTTTTAGGGAACAAATCTAGAACTTGAAGTGTGGACTAATCCAGAGACTCAGCGAGCTACCAGAAGTGTGATGCAAAGAAATAAAAAGCAGGCAGCTTCTTAACTCTTGCCAAAAGGCCCCCAAGACCCACCACCCAGTTCCAAGGTTGCAGATTAATTTGCCAGATTTCAAAAACACCATGGCAAGCATGAGGAAGACTGTTTTTCCCATCTCCCTGTTTCCGAATTAGCCATTTTTTGCAGTTTGAGCCACTGATGTATGTGGAAAGTAGCTGATGTGGATACGCAGATAAAGTTCACCCATCCTGCCCAGCTGACTTTTGCATAAACAAAGAGTGAGGTGCACCAGGCTGTCTGTGTTTGCACCAGGTGACTTCCTCACACATACAGTGAGTCCACTTGGACTTGCTCTGTGCACACTCCATACAGACTCATTCTGCACCTGACCAGTCTAATCTTGCCAGCCTTAGCCCACATCACACATCAGTCACCTGGTTTGAAAGAAGAGTTTCACGTGCAGAATAAATTTCTACCCGAAACAGTGTTTCAGTCATCTTTTGTGGAAAATCCAGGATCACAAGGGAGAGTGAATGAGGGTCACAAGGAGAGCCACACCCTGAAAAGACTCTGGCACATCCATGAAATCGGACAGCCTGAGAAAAAACGATGCCCATATGTCTGGGAGACAATAAGGGACAGCTCTACTACAAACCCTGCTACAGGTCCTGCTGGCACTGTTTTTGCATCTGCTCTTTCCCTGACAAAAGCTATGAGGATAAATTTATCCAAATGAAATGACAGCCTTTTCCTACTGGCAGGTATGCAATACTGAAGAATTCACTCATTTACACCCTCTAAATACAACGGTCTCTGAATTAGCTATGTAAGTCCTTATAGTTGCTCTACCAAGCAATGCCTGGCAAATCCAAATTTTAATTACTTTATGAGCTGGGTAATGGAAGTACATTTTTAAAAGACTAATATGCCACAGTTTTTAAATTTCATTACAGATCAGAAGTGTAACAATTTTTAATACATTTATAAAATGCAAGGCTCCAAGAACAGTGTTCTAAAACTGATAGGGTTGAAAGGAAGACAGAAAGTCGCCTATATATTGTGAATATGAGTGAGCACAGACCTGTAACCTTAACTTATTTTAAGTGTTGTCCTCTGACAACAACCCAGAATGAAGTCTGGGTTTTACTAAAAATGAGATAAAGGATTTCTTCCTGAAAAAGCATTATCATGCCGAGTTTGCAAAAGTTAAAACCTGTGATCTTGAAGCATATTTAACTAATGAAAGATTATCCTAAATGAATAAAAGAACCTTATTTCTTATGCGCTCCTTTTTGGATGCCATGTCATCACACTTGTCCTCTTTACCCAGTTTGTCTACTGCCTCCACAGTGAAGCTGTAGTTGTAGTTCCCTTTCTTTCCTCTGTCTTGGCTGTATCCTTTCCCCCATTTCAGATCTTCTTCATTCCTTCTCAAAAACTTGTCAAACTCATAGTGAGTTCTATGCTTTCTGCCATCATCCAATCGATACCTTTGTCTTTCAGGTTCTTTTTCTCGAAATCTTCTCTCCAAATCTCTTTGCTCTTTGTCACTATCATTTTGTGACCTAAGAGTATGCATAAAAAGAAAGAAAATCCAAGCAATTAACAGAAAAAGAAGCTGCTGAAGGAGACAATACAAAGCCTGCCTTTAACAGTAAGTAGACATGTTATATGGCAAGGTTGCTTTCTTCTCATTAGAAAGGGGTTATATGCAATTTTGCTCAATGTCTCAACCATGGATGTTCAGCCCTTGACCATGCATTCAGTTCAGAATAGCAGACAAAGCTTCGCAAGCAAAATCAGACTTTTGTGCAACTGTTGTGGGAGGCCCATTCTTCACTTTCTATCCCTCTCTGAAATCCTATCAATAGTTCCATGCTGCATTATTAGCTCTTGTGGCCTGGTCTTGCGGTGAATCATGCATATAAGTAATCCCCTGAACAGGAACATTCAAGGCTGGAAGGAATTGTTCAGGTATCCTGTATCAATTTGTAAAGTTTTATGACTCTTAACAATTATTCACTGACATTGGAACTTGCAGAAGACATTTGTGAAAATGGATACTTATGTTCTAGGCTTTTGTTTATTGTGTCTCCAAGTAATCTAGCCTGCCTTTGCATATCTTATTTAGGCAAAAGACCATTACATTACCACAACGTAATACTCGATTTCTGCTATGCTGCAATGGGTTTATATTATAAAGACTATCTGTAACATTCATCCTGTCTGATAAAATTCCCAGCTTTCTTATTCACTTCATTGTTCCAGTTCAGCAAGCAGGTGCTTCTCTCATACAGCCAAACTGCAAATAATTAAGAAAGATTACAGAATAGGTTGAACTTTAAAAGGAATAAATACAGGCAGTTCTTTTTATATATTACATATGTATAAATACTTAAAATAAACTGAAAGAACTGAAAAAGTAAGTTACTTGAGGATGGAGATTTTCTAATGGTGTAGTGATCAAATAGTGATATGCTTCTTATTTAGAATTATTTAATATCAATAAAAGTGTATCTTTCTATATCACCTTTTTTATTTTTTAACTAACAGAACTGTGAAACTTGTTAGCATCTGCCATGAACTTAGGCATTGGTGGGACTGCTAAGACAGAGGCCCCATCTCAGGAAGTGCTGGAGGTCACAACAAAACCTGAATGAGAGGTAAGTTATTCACTATTTCAGCAGACTGAGCTCGTGTCAGCATAACACAGTCACCAAGTGGAAGCAATGTCCCAGCTGTCACAGACACCTGAATCAATCAGAATTACAGAAATACTGTATCTGTAGCCTAGATACATATATATAAAATACTATGTTAGTTCTCAAGGGGTATGTGGTTGTGAGTTCCTTTGTTTCATGTTTAATATGCTATTCTAGACACTAACTCTTAGTCCTAGCAAGGGTCAGGGCATGACTTTCCAAAAAGTCAAAAAGACCCCCTTGATTTGTTGGTGTAGCATTGCTTGGTACTTGTCTCTTCCCTTGCCTGTTACTGTGGGTGAGGAAGGAATGGATGCACCTGGAGGTAGGCAAGTGATAGGGACACAAACTCCAGTTCAAGAGTGGTTAAAGTAGCTTCCTAAAATTCAGTCATAGTGAACAGGCAAGCAAGAGTGGAAATGGTGGGATAAGCAAATACAAAGTATAGGTAGAAGAGAAAGTTACGTAGCCAGAGAAAGAAGAAATTAATGGAAGTAAAGGGAATGGAAGCATACTTCTTTCTGGTATAGTTCCAAATCTGTATGTGATCATGTACACTTATGCAAATACTGAGATTTCGCTTTGTGGTAGAAACCTATTGCTACCGAGCCTTAAACATGGTTTCAAACATACAATTCGATGTCCTGCAGGTAGAGTTGGAAATTACAGTTTATTGCTGATTTCTGAGTCAGTGACAAAGTAGTTTCAACTTTAAACCTTGATCCAGCTGAAATAGTTCATAGCTTGCTACCTACCCACTAATAATCACAATGAAATGAGCACTTGGAAACACAAGGTAACACTGTGCAAGTGCAGCCAAAGGGATTCTGTTTAATGCCTGGAAAATCTACATTAATGCCTTATTAAACTTACAGGATCAATTGTAAACAATGTTATATGGCACCACCAAAAAGCTTACTGCATAAAAAGCTAGGGCAGTGGTGGAGTCACCATCCTCAGAGGTATTTAAAAGACCTGTAGATGTGCCATTTAGGGACATGGTTTAGTAGTGGACTTGGCAGTTCCAGGTTAACAGTTGGACTCGATGATCTTAAGGGTCTTTTCCAACCTAAACAATTCTATGATTAGTAAACAACCAACTTGCCCTTGCAATTGTTTCTGTTGAGCCTGTTCTGTTTCCTTTGTTGAAGAACATCAACAAAGGAGTTGCTGAATATTTTCAATTTCCGTTAGAGAACAGGACATGGAAATTTTCAGGAACTTCCAGGACATACTCAACATAAGGAAACACTGAGCCTATGCTTGAAGTCCTTAGTCAGAAACAAAAAAAAGGATGAATAATGCAAGTAGGATATTATTTGTGACCCATTTATTCAATTAGTAAATTCAGTTATTTTATTTTCCGGTGTTCAAAGTTTCTTTATTGTTCTATTTGTCATTAGGAGAACGTTTGCAGCTCCTACATACATCTCATAAAACCTGAGAACATATGTGGACAAAAGTAAAATTTAAACTGCTTAGAATAAGCAGGTAACCTGCAAGGCTCCCAGAGCATAATCACAAACTTCCTGTCAGATTTTATATGTAATACCTTAGGTAACTTATTAAAATGCTAAAGTTTGTCCTTCTGTACTGCAAAGCACTTTTGAGAGCTTAGCCGGAAAACTCAACTGAGTTTTATTCTGAGTTTTATTAATCTTTGTTATGTATCTTACATATCTTATGGGTGAATCCTGCCTGTGATGAGACACACGTACCAGGGGACAAGCAAGAGAACCAACTGCTGAAAACACTTGTAAGATGATAAATTCCCAGGCCACACCAGTAACAGAGCTGAGCTATGCCCCTTGTTCCTACCAGCACAAATGTAATACAAAAGGCAGAGGAGACAGAGACAGCCTTTTGCACGTACCTATCCTAAGGCTGTCACTGACACCACAACTATTCTGCCATTCACTCATTTATCAAACACAGTTCTATGTTTATTGCAGCAAACCCAAGTGTGAAGGAAGAGTGTGGCACCTTAGCCAGTTTAGTCTTTGACATCAGTAATGGAAGGAGGGCCTTACCTGAGCTCTTGATGGGGAACAGGTGAAATGACAATGCAACACTGAATGACTTTTCACGCAGAAATCCTTCCAATCTGGGATTTTGTAGCATTTCACAAATATCAAATTGCATCCACTAATACTGCCATCAGGTCAGGAAATTATTACGAAACACCTTTTACCGAAAGGACAGTAAGAGATTTGTTCACACACAGAATAAAATCGGTTCTCTGGGGATAGAATATCTTGTCAATGCATCATTTATATTTAAGCCTTGAGATCAAAGCATTTATGATCTAAATTCAATTATAAAATACAAATATTACTTACTTTTCCTTAAGTTCTTTTAGTGAACTCTCCAAAGTCTTGGATTTTATACTCCCAGATCCAGGTGATTTATCCCATTTGTTTTCCTCAATGTCAGCTTCTTCACCTTTTTCTTTGTGCTTTTCACTGGCCAGTTCATCTCCTTTTTCAGGTTTCTTGAGAAGCTAAGAGATATTTGTTTATATTATGATGTAAAATTATTCTCCTCTGTTGTAACAGACATTTTAACAGGTATTAAATATATCAGTAACCTGCTAAGATTGGAGATATTTAAATACTAGGGATGTATTTTACAAAGTATAAAATTTAAAAGTTATTTAGAAAGGGCAGTTTACTTTTGCTAAGGAGTGACAGTCATTGACAGGCATTCAATTGCACACTTATAAATATGCTGAGAATACTAAAGAGAGCACTTACCTACTCTTCTCTCCTGAGTTTCATATACAAAGACATTATTATGGTCTAAGGTTTCTTAGAAATCATGTAACAGAGCTCAGTGTCATTGCCAACAAAATAAGAAGCAGAATCTCTACAATACTACAAAGAGTAGGATTAATACTTCACTCCTTGAAATATTATATATAAAATGTATGTCACATGAATTACTTGGGATAGACTGGCACGTAGAAGTAGGTGCTTAGTACACCCTGACACAAATACAGACCGAGTAAAAAATTATGATACTAGCAGAAAAGATCTCATTACATTTTCACCTTGAAGATAAGAATTTTCAAGTCTTTTCCTTTCAAAATAACCCACACAGGGCTTAAGCAGTGGCTAGCATTACAGGAACAATCTTTACAGAAGGACCAACCGTCTCAAACTCTTACCCTATTATCAGGACTAAGCAGAACATCTCCTCAGTCTTTTCAAGCCACAAGATTTTCTGAAACAAGCACTGCTTATTCTTCTCTAATATTTAAAATGTCTATAATGTTTCTATCAGGAAATATTTTCCTTTTCTTTCAGAGACAGAACTAGCTTTCGAGATCATATCACCCCTGATATGTCATATATAAAGGTTTTTTTTGGACAACCAATTTTGGGTAATATATTTTAAGGATTAAGTCCCTTTTCTTCTGAACTTCTAGAGTGATTTTCTTTATGCCTAAATATGAAGAATATGTAATTCACCTTCAGAATTTACTGGTTTTATACTTTCAGGTGAAGGAAACTGTTTGCCACGAAGAAAAGAGGAAACGAGTCCACAGTTCTGTGGCTTCTCAGCACCACAAGATCAGGAGTCAGTCTGTGTGTCCTTGCGTTACGCTACAAACTCTTATACAATTTTCCTTTTCAAAATGGCCTATAAGGCTCTTCCAATACTACAAAATTTAGTTCAGATGAATACTTTTTATCTATGTCATCTTATACAAATAAAGTTTTATCGGTTCCAACTTCATAGCACAAGATACATCCTCCTAAGTGATGTCTCTAAAATCCATTCATATTCTTGCAAGGGAGCACAGCCTAAAGTTAGCATGACTTTGTTATAACTTGGTTAAAGCTTTAATACTATTAAATAATTTAACACTATTAAAATACATCAGTTCTTGGCATAAATACAAAAAGCTCTCTGCACACATGGCCAGATGGAGATTTACATGACAGAAAGTTTTTAAAGCCATATTTCACAGAAACACAGAATCACAGGATATTCTGAGCTGGAAGGGACCCACAAGGATCATCAAGTCCAACTCTCAAATGAATGGCCCGTTCAGGGATAAAACCTGCAATAATCTTCCAACATGTTAGCACAGAAGAACTCGGTTGTCAGGTAATGCTGGCACAGAACGCAGCAGTACAAAGGTATCTGAATTACTTGCTGTAACTGCACCAGCACATCACTGTACCTAGGGCCATTTAATCACACTTTCAAACAACACTACTTACTTTACATTACTCTCCCTTGCAGACAAAACTGGTTTGGTGCCTCCACACTGTGCTGTCATACACTAGATAAACACTGAGATACCAAAGAACTTCTGAATAACTTCAAAGGAAGAATAATCTTTTTTTTATTATGGTACCTTGATCCTTATTTCTTTTTCAGAAATTTTCTTTTGCTTCTCCACTTCTTTCCTTTTACGTCTTTCTTCTTCTCTGCGCTTCCTCTTCTCTTCCTCCCGCAGACGTTTCTTCTCCAATTCTCTCCGCCTTCGTTCTTCTCTTTTCTCTTCTCGTATTCTCTGAAAAGTTCAAAATGATTAATTGTAAATTGTCCAATGGAAAACCACGTGAAACATAAATGTTGAACTTCAGGCAAAAGTCTGAACGTACCTGCTTTTCTAATTTTCTATTTTTAATATATTCCAAAAGAGGTGTTGTTCTTCTAGCTAAAACACAAAAAATTTGTGATATAGTGTTCAACTCCTAGAATATGTACTCATTTCTTTATTTTAGTACTAACCCCCTTTTTTCTAGCTTTATCTGAAAGGGAGCTAAATCATGGATAAACCTATTTGTTTCATGTATTTTTGAAAGCATTACCATCATTCTGCTTTAGAAACACTTTGTTGCTTTTTTTTGCTGTTAGCGTTAGAAGCAACAGAAATAAATTGCATGATTATTTAATGTTTAATTAAAGATCCTATCTTTATACCATATCTTTTCAGTTCAAGAGAATGGCTTTTCTCACTTAGAATGGTTATTTCACCAAAAAGGAAAGAAATGTGTTCAGCATCTTTTCCTACTTTTTACTTTTGTACATCAAAACCTAGCTATATTGTTGTTCACAAACAGCCCACATTACTGTAATCTCACATAGCATTTTTCAATCACAGATGTCAAAGTACGTGATGAAGGAAGCATTTTCAGTCTCATATAACATTTCCATTTACCTGACTTTAGCATTCCCCTCTCCTTGCAAAAACAGGAGGAATAAGAGATAAGTAGTTTGTCCCAGGTTACATAATGAAGTATCAGCAGACTCAATAAAACTCTGGCTTCCCAAATAACAAATAAAACGTCTCATTTACTGGATCACACAACAATTCTTATGTTAAAGAGCTGTCTCCACACTCTAAAATCAAGTCACCCGCCTGAACCAACCCCCAATTCTACAAAATATTGGAGAACATCATCAAATTTTTCATCATATACAGCATTTATGACTGTCAGTACTGAATTCAGACTTGAATTCATGTACTTCAAGCTGTGAATAGTTACAACAAATTTTGTCAGTCTTAGGTGTCCCAGGGTAGAAAATGCTTGCTACTTGAAATTGCTCTACAGTTACATTAAGGATTCTCCCTCAAACCAGAAAAAAACTGCACTACTGGAATGCGTGACAGGATTTGGAAGAAAAAGGAAAAAAAAGAAAAGAAAAAAAGAAGAAATTAAAATAAAGTTTTCAACAAATTTGAAATGGCATAACCAAAGTCTGGACACAATTCATATCTCAAAAACATTTAAATCTTTTTGCCTTGAAAGTCGGAATATGCTGGAGGCAACCCATTCATTAATAAGGAAACTTTTTTACGCAGTTATGAACAGACTGATAGGAAGGCTGATAGGATTCAGTATTTATTTTTACCAAATATCAATGTTTAAAAGCAACAACCAAAAAAGATTGTTGATTTGCCATTTTCCTCTCTCTATCCCTAGACTTCCCATGCTGCCCCACCCTCCTCACATGCCTATACTTTCTTGCAAGTGTTAGGTCCCCAGAACCCTCCCTTCCAGTCCCTCAGATCTGCAGCTTTGCCTTCTCTCTCCTGCCCCTGTCTGAGCAGTGTCTACCTGTGGGCACTTCTACACGCTGAAGGAGATCACAGATTTTAACTGGAAGGTCTGGGCAAAGGATAAGCTGCACTGAGAGCCCAGAACTTGACCCTAGTCATGACTAAGGCTGTGGTGCAAGAGGTTTAATGAGAAAGTATAACTTCAAGTTCAAGGGAGAGAGGCAGTGTAATGAGTATTATCAATAGAGGAGGGAAAAAAAGAATGTTTATCAAACCTGACTCTTACCTATCTTATTTATGGTCCTTAATATGAATAAAAATATGAAATATTTTCTTAAAATGTTTAAAGAATTTTAGAAGAAAATAAATTGCTAAATGAAGTTTTGTGTCAGCAAAACTTTTTACATTTTATCTTGTTCTCTACAAACAAGCCAGAAAAATGAGCTTATCTTCATAATGTTACTGAGAAAATCTCTTTTATATCTCTCTGTCACACTGAAACTGATCAGCTAACCCATCTGACATAATGCATAAAATATGTTGCTTCACAGTAACTCTACATGGAGAAATGCTGAGCATACGAGGCCCAATTTTGCCAGCGAAGTCCTGGGCATGTCCTTCATTGACATCAGTAGGAGTAGCACCTTTGCAAGTCGACACACAACTAAGCCCTTACATAATTTTGCTATAAACATGTTACAGTTTTGAATGGCAGAAATAATAAAGCAACTAATTTGATTCCCTGAGATTTAACAGAAACAAAACACTAAAATTCTTAATGTAAATCTGCCTTCAGCCAATATTGTTATTCTGAAATTTGCAAGTCTCAAGACTAGTAATTTTCACTGATAGAATATTTTAAAGTTAAAAAATCTTTCTTGAAATTGTAAACTTTTTGGAAATCATAAATTTCTAAGAAGATTTTGACTGCTTTTACTTTTCTGTCAAATACTAGGGAAGATTTGGGGTAAACAAATACTGTTGTGTAACTTCCCTATCTAGAACAGGAATAAACAAGTTTTATTATCTAAATGTCCATACTACTAACATTTCCATTTCCTCTAAATTGTTTTAAGTTCCAAATGTCCCTAGTTAACTCTCAAACAGTAGTAACAAGTGACAGGACAAAAGGAAATGGCCTCAAGTTGCACCAGAGCAGGTTTATACTGGGTATTAGGAAAAACTTCTTCATGAAAAGATTGTCAAGCACTCAAACAGGCGCCCCAGGGAAACAGTGGAGTCACTGATCCTGGTGGTATTTAGAAGATGTGTAGACGTGGCACCTGGGGACATGGTTTAGGACTTGGCAGTGCTGGGTTAATGGTTGCACTTGATGTTCTCAAAGGTCCAAAGGTCTTTTCCAACCTAAATGATTCTATAATTCTAATCAAAAGAGGTGTCTACTTTTACACAAAAGAAATAACAGCAAAGGTCATTTTTTTTCCCTACTCAATTGTCACACCTAGGGAAAGACTAAGTGTTCTGCATGTTGTCACTTGAAGATACAGCACATCAATATTCCATGTCATCCTGAAAGCTGCATACCAGCACTGAAGATTTCAGTGTTGACCTTACTTAAAATTCCCCACGGGACTGTGAAAGTCATGCTGCATGCATACAAAAAACAAGGTGTTGCCTTACTTTCAGAGCTTTGCCAGAATTTTGACCGTGAGAACAAAAAGAGACCATTTCATGTTTCTTAATAAAAGCAGCTAATATCAGGGATAAATTTTTAAGTATCCAGCTATTTTATATTTTAAAAATAAATCTTTCATCTATTAATACATCTGTAAGTATTCAGAATTATTGAGGAACTATTTCTGAAGCCACCGCACATGCAAAAGCTCAGGTGAAGCCAAGTGATTCCAGGCATAGAGACTTAAGAGAACAGATAAAAACCCCTACTACTTGGCTGGATAACAAAAATTTAACTGTGGTAATCTAAATCTGTTAGACTGAACGGGTCAGTTCTAGCAGGTTAATATAAAAGATATTTAATACTCTCAATAATAAGAAAAATCAAGAAAACAGACCAATAAGTTCCCTTGTTTTGGCCTCAATCTCTCCCAAAAGAATCTCAGGATTGGCACAGATTTTCTCTTCATCAGCACAATAACTCTCTAAAAATTTCTTATATTCTGGATCTGTGAAGAAAAATTTTTGAATTATATTAACACTTTGCAACGCATAACAGAAATGAAATATATTTTCTACTGTGATGCCAAGAAAATATGTTTACCATCTTCAATGCTCCCGGCTTTGGCATCTTTCTTCTTCAGCTTCTTTTTTGAAATCTTCTGGAATGGAGCAAATTCAACCACTGCAGGATACTCCAAGCCTTAAAAGAGATCAAACCTTAATATTCTGATGGGGAGAAACATTCCCTAAATTCATGTAAGATTTCCAAAACTCTTGAAACATGTGTTGAGCAGTCTTACTTGAAATCAAAGGTAACTGTTTCTACAACTACTAAACTTCTAATGAAAAGTTACACACAGAGGTATTTTACATTGAAACCAAAATAAATTTATATTTTAATTACATATAAAACATTAAATATTTTTGGATATGCTAATAAGACTGTCAAAATGAAGATTATTGTTATACAATAAAATTCTTGTATAATCATTTTTAATTTCCTTCTACTTATTCACAGATATTGATTAGAAAAATTTACCTCAAAATCTCAGTCTGACAAGTAATTAAGTCCTACTGGGAAATTAATACGAAACTGCTGAGTGGTTTCCTAAAGCTTCGTTGCCTAAAGGCTTAAAAAATAAATAAATGCTGGGTAATATGCAATAAAACAATATACCATCTCCTTTCAGAACAGTAAAACTCAGCATGTAGAATTGTGTGAAACTTCTTTTTTTCTGTTTATGATGGACAATGCAACTTTCTGCCTGTGTTTGTTGGCAAGGATTCTTTGCTTTGAATTCTGCCTTAAGTACTGGATTTTTCTTTGGACTGGAGTCAGAACTGCGTGTAGTTTTTGAATTTCACCTGGCTTCCACTTCCAGCAGGTTCAAGATTACACTTAGCTCAAGTCCACTGAAAATTTGTCTTAAATCTGCCAGAACATTTGTTAACCATATTGAACCTGCTAATCCTTGTTTCATTTTTACCCTCATAAGTGCAGTGCCGCCACAAGTCTCACCAAGGGCACCTGTCATCAAACCTTGTGGTCTTTATTTGCACAAACAATCCTGCCAAGCTGGCCAGCTGTGTCCAAGTCAGGTTTTTTTATTTCCCAGAATATTCAGGACTGAATATTCTGGCTTCACTCCAGCATAACACTGAAAGACCTGCTGAATTTAGGCAAAGTCAAGTCTTAGGAGAATCATAAAAATAGCTTCTTTCTGTTTTTTCTTCTTAAAACATCCAGAATTTGAAATCCAGGAATCACACACTGTGAGGAATGTGTTGTTCTCCATCTCTACAAAAACAATCCAAATCTGATGGATGTCAGAAGCAGATAAAATATTTCAGGTAGGAAATGCTGAAGAGGAATTAACAAATTTGACAGAGAGTTTCTTTAGAGATCAATCTCTAGTAAGAGTGGGCAGGACTACTTTTCACAGGACCACTGCAACACCAAGTGTACAGCATAAACAATGTCTATCTAAGAGACCCACAAATCTCAGCCTATTTTATAGAACCTACGCAATTTTTTACAGAAGGTATGGCAAGGTATGGCAAGGAACTACTAAAGTTCTGCTAACCTACATTTTGTCAATGGCAGTTTCACACTACTATAGGAGACCCGGGTTTATCCACACCATTACAGACTTTCTCTACCGCTGGGCAAACTTTTGCAGATTGAACATTTTAAAGCTGGCAATCAATTATGTTGTTCTTGTTTTTGGAACTCAACTCAAGATGTCTGCAAAGGCCCTAAAAATTCAAGCTTGACATGTCTTAAAAGTGGGCAACCGAAATGTTGAAGGTTTCCTCTTGCTTTTACAAAACAGGAGTAAGTGGCATAAGTTTATCTCACAGAAACACACCGAAGACGTAACAATTCATGCTCACAATGTGTTCAGTTCCTGTTGTGGTGAACTGTGAAGCTTGCACAAGCTAATTGTCTTAATAGCATCTTGATAATGTATTGCCTAAGGTATAAGAATGCACATAAAGCATGCACACCATAGACAAGCAAGACTGCATGGACAAATACATTTTGCACTTTATTATCAAGTGCTAAATTTTAACATATTTTAATGTAATTAACTGCATATTGAGGAAAAAAGCAAGCATAATTAGCAAAAAGGAAGTAAAATAATGTTCTAAAATGGTATATGTATATATATATAGACCTAATATCTTACAAATAGTCCAACCTTTATTGTCAATGAAGACATAGCCATCAAAGCGATCTCTAAAAAGAAGGATGTCCTCAGGATTTCTAAAGTTAATGTATGCTCTTGAGTAGAGATGAGGATAAAGGCTGCAACAAGAAACAAGTTTATTTCTATTATTTATTATTCTGTTCAGGGCTAGGGAAAAGGTAAAACTAGAAGGATCTCATTTTAATTCTCATCTTCTTTGAGAAACTGTTACCTTAAACAGTCTTTACATGTATGTATCTAACTATATATGACAAAAAGTAACTTAACAACTGAGTTCTGTATGCAACTGTGAAATTTATTCTGAACTGAAACAAATATTTCTAGTTTGTTTTGTCTCCCTAATTTCCAGAGCATACACTTCCAATTGTGCAGGATTAAAACTTGAATATTTCATGATTTCAGAGACATGAGTAACAGCAGTGCTTTTGGGGAACTTCTTGGGCATGCTAAAAAAAGTCTTCTATCAGTGAAACAGGCAAAGGTAAGTAAAAGACCACAGTGAAGGGGCAGTTTCCAAGCTGCAACCGTATTTAAATATATGTCCACCTTTAAGAAAGAATAAATAGCCTAATACTTGGCAAGATAATCCACTGAATTAAACGCAAATAAATAAACTCCATGTGCTATCATCCCCATGTTATCAATATACAATGTCTAGTTGTGAAGAACAGCTATTCTGAAAATCCAAAGAATTTCTAGCAAAGGAAATGGGTACTTACTTAAAATAATTTTGATTCTTCATGATAGAATCAAGTGGCATAGATCCCACTCCAAGAGTAAATATTTGACGTGCCTGATAAACACCTCAGGGCTGGCACACCATAACCACAATGAAACAGGCAATTTAATGGATTAGCACTCATCAGCTAAGTTATTGTGAGCCATGGCCTGTACATGCTTTAAACCTCTGCAACTGTGATACAAAACAGTTTGGCTTAAACTGCCTTAATGATGGCTACATGTTACATCACATTTTTGAACAAATCTTAACATAAGCCCATAACTTTAAATACCTCTGTTCATATACTGTTGTCATACACCGCCTGCCTTCAGACCAACTCACCACCAGCAGCAGGAGACAATAAACATACACAACTGCAACTGTATTTCAATCCCATAGCCATTTCAGAATCAGATTTCACAAGTGAGAAAGAGCAAAATCATGGGTTGGCTCACAGGAATCTTTGCATGTGGCAGCTCAAAGCAACACTGTTGCCAAGGAATTTTTTATTTTTAAAATATGCATCCATATGGATTCCACTTCCAGTATTAGAGGAGACCATAAAGACCACAAAGAGACAAATCATTGTCAATAACCAATGATTTCGTAAACACACCAAATTTGTGTTTGATTTGTGTTTGCAGCCAGGAGAAATGTTTAAAAAAACTAGAGGGCTTTTTTCATTTAGATGTTTTGCAAAAACCAGCTACAGACTGTTTCTACAGCATCAAGAGGATAAACTCTGTATTTCTAAGGAAGAGCAATTTTATCAATTTATACCTATTTTGACATTCTAGGATGGGAACAGAGTGAACTATAAGCAGGTAACTGCAAAAATGTCTGCTAGGGCATGGCCAGTGCTGAAAGATGCTACAGTGGCTGCGGAGCTACTGCCAAGATACAAAGCAGATGTAGCAAGCCAACTTCTTTCTCATTGGCTTCAAAGAAAAAAAAAAGGATGAAATTTAACACTTCTTATAATTATTACATACAGTTAAAAATATATTTTAAAAAGGCACAGGAGTGTAAGTAAAGGAGGGAACTTTATTGTGTCAATCTATAGCTGCGCTTGAAGAAATGTCTCTGTGCTGACTAATGGCTGCAACAGTGAAGAACCTTCTGATAATTGGCAGCTCCCAGAAAGAAGTAAACTTCCTTCTCTATCACATTAACAGGACTATGCTTATGTTGCATGTTCTTTGATGTTTAAATTAAACAAGGCCCGATATTAGAGATTGATACAATTGGTACTTGAAGTGCTGAAGGTTCACCAGACAAAACCAGGAATTTTGAGGCAGCATTATTTTTCAGGCACTTCTCGGCCTCAGTGCACAGCAAACAGCTTCATCATATAGTTGGATTTTCTTTTTCCTGTAGTAACTTAGAACCTTATGGTTGGACACATAATCATAATGAAACAAAACTGAAAAAACACGAGTTATTCCTTCTTTGTTTCCTTTAGTTGGTATATCAACACCATCTCTTTTATCTGCTTTGGCAACATATGTATTTTTCCAGCTTTTTCAGCCTAATCGAAGTGGGTATCTTTCAAAACAGAGGAACATTTGATATGGTTATTAAGCACTTATTAGTAAGAAAACACCAGTCTGAAATGTATAAATGGGACTCTGGAAAGCCGAGATTTAGCATATATCCTGCAAATATGGGATCCAATGTTATTGCTATACATTAATATCTTCAAGAACTTCATATGCATCAGCAGAAACATACAAAAATATAAAAGCATGTGCACAGCAGGATATTGATGTGCACCACAGCACAGTAAAATACAACTCTCTCTCCATTATTGCTGCAGTGTATCAGGGTAGAAGGTTGCAGAAACAGAGCTAAGACAATGCTTAGCAATTGCAGGTTCCGTCTCTGATGGAGCCACCTCTGGAAGTAGAGAATTGGATCGTATATGCGCGCAAGTTAGTTGTCAGAGTGCTCAGTGTGTAAAAACCTCACCACTGAGTGTTTCAAACCCTTGTCATAGACTTCTTACCCAGCAAAGTGTGCAGTGTGCCTAAAAAAGTGCATAAAATTAACATTCTAAGTGGGATGCTAACTAAACCTAGCAAATCGGAAATTCTTAGCACTGGCCTGCATACAGAATATGCAGAATATGCTCCGGGTTTCAGACACCTGACTTCCAGCTGCCACTCCCCACACTGGATTCCCTCTTCACCTATCCACTGAGAACTCACCAGCATGACCATGCAGCAAAGAACGCACAGAACTTCTTCAGAGGGCCACAGGCACTCTGAGGCTAATGATCTCTCCTAGGAAGAAACACTCCTGCTTTACTTTTGTTCTTTGTATTCAGCAGTTATTGGCTAAAATACTTTTTTTGCTCTTCAGGATTTTGCCTTCCAGCCAAGTTCTACAGAAGGGCCACTGAACACTCTGTGTCTCCTCCTTTCTTGAAGTGTCTACCAGCATAAATTTCATTCAGGATCTGAAATTTAGTTTTATAATCAGACAGCTGGTTCTATTTTGCCATATGTTTGCTGTCTATAATGCTGCTTTCCATCTGTATAATGTTCTGCACAGATGCACAGCACATGCTGGCATCTCTGGGACATCACTTAGAGCAATCTCTATGGAAACAGCCCAGATGAGTCTGACTGTACACATTTCTTCAGTCCAGCACACTTTTTCTTTGTTTTCTGCTCTGCGTTCAAGGGTATTCAATCTTTTAAGTTACATTTATTTCTATAATAAATATTTAAGTCAATAATTTCTCTAAGCCTTTTTCTAGTAACTTGAACAACAAACACATTCTAATTGTTTACTTCTTCTACAAAGTATCTTTTAACACAGTTGTGTAAAAAGACTGGTACACAGGAAAGCAATTTTGAATAGTTATCTACAGTATAAACAGCAACTACAAAAACAGCTATCACATCTTAGTGACTTACTTATCAACTTACAAATCATGGTGGTTATATGTATATAAACATATATACTTACATGTGTATAAACACACAGATACCTACCTCTAAATTTTGGAGTGTCAAGTAACTCCTCCATTCACTTATATAACAATTGATGAGGTAAGTCATCATCTACATGGCCTGGTCAAGCTAAGATCCACTGGCATTTATCCTTATCACCTTCTGTGGTCACTCACATAGTGGATGCAACTGACATAATCTTAAATTAACTTAGTCTTTCCTTTTCACAGTTTTAATGAGCACAATTTGCCTGGCAGAGAAGCAGGAACACTACAGAATTGTGCCAATCAAAGCCTGTCAATGATTCCATCCAGAACACAGTAGTGGTGGTTCCCTTGAAGCTCTAAAAGCATTGCCCCTTCAATGCTGCAGTTCCTGGGTGCAAACCTCCACCCTACAGTGTTAATGCTATATACCTAAAATAAACCTGAGCAAAATGATGTGAAGAACCTACAGAGGGAAAAGGAGTGTGCTTTGCAAGAAGCTTTATCACACTCTGTGACACATAGCATGGCACTATTTGACCAGTTTTTATGTAAGCCAAGGTCCTGTTCAGATCTCTTTATTTTATAACCTCACACTATTATTGACTCCCAGCACTCAATGCCAGTCCCAAGGGACGACCCAAGTCCTGTAGGGCCAGAGCTCAATCACTTGACTCAAGTTTTAGAAGACTCAGAAATATTTACCAGTGGACAAAAAGAAAGAATATCTGGAAAAAAAGTTAATATTTGGAGTCTGAGCACAAAGTCTGTGAGGAAGGCAGAGTCTTTATTATCAACTATAAACAGTGTTTTGTGTGTATTTTGATGTCAATATGTAAGAGAGAATAAACGTAATGCAGTGAATTGGATGAATCTGAAAAATGAACAAAACACAACACAAGTAATTTTCTGAAATGATTTTACTGAAATGGATGGAACTGAAAAAGCATTATACATTATTAATGACATTAATCACATGAAATTTTAATACGTTTTACAGCTTGTCTATAATAGGACGTGGTAAACTTAAACATTTATGATATAAAGATGTTAGAGAGATATTAGAAAGATAAAGATTGCAATAACAGAGAAACTGGAGTTGATATGCCTATCTTGTCTGTTTTCTCCTCTAAGGTGAGATGACCTTAGAAATAAAAATGAAGAAACAGCTACAGTTAGACCTCTCTAGTTCTCCTTCTAACAGCAACTAAGAGAGGTTGCTTAGAGAAATTTTATTAAAAAGGGGAAAGTATACACTGGCACTTCACCCAATACATAATTTCAGTTACTTGCAGCCTAGGGACTTTGTAATACCAAACTTGTATCCTGTGTTTAAAAGGTTTTCATAGATAAATATTTGTCTAAATAAGAATTTGTCTAACTGCTCCTGAAGCTTTTCCAACATCCATCATTTGTGGAATAAAATTCTGACAAGTTCTACAGTTTGACAGAGTGTTGTGTGAAAAAAAAGACTGTACAGAAATATGAATGAGCTCTTAGAAACTTCTGTGACCTGGAGTTACACAGGATGTGGTTAAATTGAGATGTTACAGCTCTTAAGGCAAATTTGTCTGGTTCCACACCAAAACATGTCTGTCCCTTTATCTTTTCAACAAACAGATCCTCTTCACTGAGTAGCTTCTCCAAATCATTCTCATTAGGTGACATGAAATTTCTTTTCATCTTCCCATGGGTTTATTATTTGTTCTCTGAATTCTCTGGATTGGCTGGCCACTATGCATATGGTATAGGATCTAGGAAAAAGCTATTCAGTGAAAGAGAGCACATGCCCACCTTGTCCTATAGCTCTTCCTGTTAGTTGGAATGACGTGAAGACACATCCAGAGGGTTTGCTGAAATCGTGTGAACTGTCCATAATATGACAGATTAACGCAACACAATGTTTTATACTCAGAAAAGAGTTCTCTGCTGGATAAGAGGAGACTGATACTCGCTACATTAATCTTGTCTCTAACTTTTAATTTTGGGATGTTTCTTGTGTATTGTAGACTGTGTGAGCATGTAAAGAGTTGAGTCATAAACAGATGTACGTGGCATGTGTCAGCATCAGAACAAAGGGGACAAATGACATAAGGTGATCCTGGGCCAGGCAAAGGACAAATAATCAGCCAAGCCAACACTCTGCAGAACTGCAGTGAAATGCCTATTTAAGCTGTGTAGTTTGCTGAAAGAACCTATAGCCATACAAACCTCATAAAGGTAAAGCCATTCTGAAAAAATACATCTTTTGTATGAAAACACATCTTTTAAGAAGCAAGATAAACAAAAAAGTGACTATGAAACAGTTCATGTTGAAAAATTCAGACTTATATGAAAACATTCTTTTTTCTAGTGAGTTTAAATTTGTGAAGGCAGAAGAGAATAACATGACAAATTACACAGCATAAGAGAAAAACTACAGTATCTTTCATTGGTAACGTAACATAGATGCAATCAAACGAGTGGACAGCAAGATTTTTGAGTACTCCAAATTTCATCACATAAGAGAGAAAATGAAACTTTATATACACAGCTGTTGTCAGTGCCTTCTCTTTTCTAAGGTGGTCAACTCCCCCTAAATTCTTATGCCAGCAGTTTTTCTGGAAAATTAAAATTGTAATTTTTTTTAACTGTTTCCTGGAATTTGTGCAGCTAAACGCACTGAGAACTGACACTCTTCTTCAGAGAATTTTTGGTTTGCTTTTGATATTTTCCCCTTATCAAATGAACAGCTGGGACAGAAGCCTTAAAGAGACCCATTTGGAAATATGGATGACAAAGTTCAGAAGAGAAATGTAAGGAACTACAAAGACTTTCAATCAGACTAAATACTCCTCTTTCCTAACTTCACATCCTTTGTAGTTTTAACAGAACAGCTGAAGCACTTACTATTTTGTTGCTGCACTAATGTGCAACTATTTAGGTGGGTTGGGAACTGTCATAGTTTTGCTAAATAAACATTTGTTTCTCCTTGATTGTGGAACTGACTCTGAAAGAACCATTAACTTCAAAAGTTGGTCAGCAATAAACATCCAGGATCCCTCTGCAGTCAGTGGAAAGAACCTGGTGCAAGTGGAGGGTGAGTCATCGCACAACAAGATACAAGAAGATGGATCTTATACTTTAGTTTTTCAGAACACATGCAGATGTGTCATAAATGGTGTTTTGCTTTTTTAGTGGTTTAAGTTCCTTCTCTTCTGGAAATTGATTTATTTCAAAGGGAATTGTATTATACCACTGTGATACAGAATTAATTATATAAACATATCAGCAATTCTGATTTACTGTAAATCAACCACTCTATTTTTTTATTTTTGCATGAGATAAAAATTAATAAAACTGGATTATTTGAAAAAATGAATTAAGTAAATACAAAAATATGTAAGCATACAAAGAAGCTAAGCTCAAATGGCACTCATGAAAACATTCCGTGATTGTTTGCCCTAGACTGAATCTTTCCCACAGCCAATAAAATAGTCTGTTGAAGTTTATCAATGAAAGTTAAAAGAAACATCAGGATTTCAATTATGCCCTTCCATTTTAACACGGAATTTTGCCCTTCTGTTTTAAAATCATCAGTGTAAAAGAAACATCCAGGAATGCTCTCTCTGCATACGCAGCCACTTTTCATATATATTTTTGGTAACCCAACAAACATAATAAAAAGGGAAAAACCGTGATTTGTAATGGCCTGGATACCTTAATTAGGTTTTAAGCACCTGAAAACCTACAGAAACAGCTCATCCTCACCTGGGATCAGCAGTGCAAAACTCAAAATAATCATGGGCAGGTAGAGGATGTAGCTGTTCCTCAAGTTGTTCCTTGGTTAGACAAGGAGGAAGCCTTCGAATAACCACCTGCATATATAAAAGAAAATGGAAATTTATATTTGATCTAAACACTGTAGAAATGGATGGAACAAGTTCCCTCAGTTTCTACAAGCGTTGTAAAACTGAAGGGTGACTGACATATTCTGATATGCACTGCAATTTAGCCAATAATAAAGGATTTAAAAAAACCAAAAACTAGATATTGATTACATAAACTTTTGCAGTATCTCTTTCAATACAGCAGTATTTTAGTGCCCTCTGTGTCCAGGTGCTCCTGGCAGGGGCTCCAGAGCAGCCTCTGAGGGGATGCTGGGGCTGCCCCATGCTGGGCACAGCCAGCTTCAGCCAGCTCCAGTGGATTCAACCCAGGGAACAGCTGAGCCACTCAGCCAAGACTTGTGACTCTGGGAAGCGTATCTAAGAAAGGGCAGAAAAGGCTGCACAGCAGTGGGTGAGACAGAAGAGTAAGGGGGGAAAAGTGTGAGAAAGAGCCCTGCAGACAGCAATGAAGGGAGGAGGGGAGGAGGTGTTCCAGTGCCAAAGCAGAGATTCCCACACAGGAGATCATGGTGAGGCACGCTGTCCCCCCACAGTCCATGGAGGATCCCATGCCACAGCAGGTGGAGATGCCCTGAAGGGACCTGCAGCCCATGGAGAAAAGCCCACACTGGAGCAGGTTTATCCTGAAGGACTGCAGCCCACAAAGGAGACTCATGCTGCAGCAGGTCATGAACAACTGCAGCATGCAGAAGGGACTGTATCCCACTGTATCCCATGTCAGGGCCCCATGCTGGAGGGACAGAACATGAGGAGAAAGGAGCAGCAGACAGGAGCTATTATGACCTGTCTGAAATCCCCATTCCCCATCTTCCTGCACTGCTTGGGTGCAGAGGAGGTAGCATCTGGGAAGAAAGGGGGAAGGAAGGTGTTTTAGTTTTAATCTTTGTTTCTCACCATTCTACTCTATTTTTTTAAAATTAGCAATAAAGTAAATTAATTTTCAGCAAGTTAGAATCATAGAATATCCTGAGTTGGAAGGGACCCACAAGGATCATTGAGTCCAACTCCTGGCCCTGCACAGGACAACCCCCATAATCACACCATGTGCCCAAGAGCATTGTCCAAACACTTCTTGAACTTTGTCAGGCTTGGTGCTGTGACGACTTCCCTAGGGAGCCTGTTCCAGTGCCCAATCACCCTCTGGGTGAAAAACCTTTTCCTAATATCCATCTAAATCTTCCCTGATGCAGCTTCAGGCCATTCCCTTGGGTCTTATCACTGGTCACCATAGAGAAGGGATCAGTGCTTGCCATCCCACCTCCCCTCATGAGGAAGCTGTAGGAAGCTGCTATGAGGTCCCCCCATGTCTGTTTTTGCTGTGATGGCACGTTGTAAATTATCTCCCTGCCTTTATCTCAGCCCTGTGAGTTTCTTTTATCATCTTCTTCCCCTGAAGGTAGGAGGGAGGAGCGCAAGAGCAGCTGATTGGGGGTCTGGCAGCCACCCAGATTCCACCCACCACACTCAGGTAAACTGCCCAATAATAAGAACAAGGAAACTGCATAGAAACCTCTGGTAGAACGATGTCTGCACACAAAGTAGTAAAATGGCCATCAATGGCTTCAGGCAATCTATTTTAATTTTTTGAATATTTTAATACCTGAATTTAACTTGACTTATATAGTGATTTTCAATGCTTCAGTTTCCAATTAAAAAAAAAAAAAAGGGAATAAATCAAATCTCACACTTCTCACAGAATCACTGAATTTTTAGGGTTGAAAGGGACCTCTGGAGATCATCCAATCCGACCCCCTGGCAAGGCAGGGTCACCTAGAGGAGGTGACACAGGAACGGGTCAGGTAGGTTTGGAATGTCTCCGGCGAGGGAGACTCCACGACCTCCCTGGGCAGCCTGTTATACTCTGCAAGTATTATCTAAAAAGTGCTCGAATAAAGACAAGGAAGAGAACAGGAGCTGCTTTACCACAGCAATGGCTAGCTTTGACTTCTTTAGAATTAAAGATGAAATGATTTCCAGCATTGACGCTGGGGATTCACAATACTCCAGGGAATGAACACCCGTTTTAAACACCCCACTGTGCTGCGACCCGGCTCGGTCTGTGGAGCAGGGATGCTGCCTTCGCCCCGCTCCCCCCCGCAGGCCCCGCTCCCATCTCCCCCCGGCGCCGCCGCCGCTCCCCCCGCGCGCCCCCTCACTTTGCTCAGCGCTGTTTTCTTCTCCTCCCGCAGTTTACCCGGCGCCGGGTGAAGCAGCGGCGGCGGCAGCGGGGAGGGCGGGGAGGGCGGCGGGGGGTTCGGCGGAGCGTCTGTGTCGCGGCGCGGCGACTCCCGGCGCGGGGGGGTGTCCATGGGCCGCTGGTCACGGCCGCCGCCCCGCAGCGACCCCAGCCCTGACAGCAATCCCGGCCCCCGCTCCGACCGCATGGAGCCGCGCCCGCAGCCCGGGCGAAACCTCGCGAGAACTGCCCGCAGCGCTGCCGGGATCTCGCGAGGCTCCCCCGCCCCAGCCCCTCAGCGGGGGCGCAATTGTCATCCCCCTTCCCATCCCCGAACTTCTCGCAAGCCCGCTGGGCTCCCACTGTGCCGGTGGGCAAGGGAGGACAGAGAAGTGTGCCCGTTCCCCTGCTCTCATGGTCCCTCCCCCTAAGCTCGCGGGTGCCTTGTCACAGCGGCCGCAGAGCGGCTCGTACGGCGGGACGGGCACGGACACCCCGGGGCGTGTTACCCACAGCCTTAAGATGCAGGGAAGAGAAATAGCCAGGTCCTGGGGACAAAAGAGTGGGAATGGGGAAAAGAGTCCATTACTCGTTCCTTCCATCATCCCAGGACTCGGTGGTTCTGTCAAAACGAAGCAGCAGCGCCCGCACGCAGGAATGCACCGTCAGCTCCAGCCTCCGTGGCCAGGCAGCAGGTACGGGAGCTTTTGTGGACAATGCCTCCCTGCCTTTCTGACTGGCTTCATCAGGAACTGTGGTGGTACAAACGGACGTACAAACGGAAAGAGGGGAAATTCAGGGTGGGTAATGGGAAGAAATTCTTTACTGTGAGGGTGGTGAGGCACTGGAACAGTTTGCCCAGAGAAGTTGTGGATGCCCCATCCCTGGAAGTGTTCAAGGCCAGGATGGATGAGGCTCTGAGTAACACAGTCTAGTTGAAGGTGCCGCTGCCCATGGCAGGGGAGTTAGAACCAGGTGATCTTTAAGGTCCCTTCCATCCCAAACCATCCCATGATTCTATGATTATTTTAAGTACTGACCCATCAATCAAGCCAAGGATTACTCAGTCCTAGATTGCAATCAACAAATTCTGCAATGTCTAAATCCACAGTTTCCTGCAATGCCTGTGTGAGTTAGAATATCTTGGACTATATCTCCTAGGCTCGGTGGCAGAAGTGCAGCAAAGTACATCCAAAGTATGGATATACCATGCATTTATCAACACAGAGACTCATCTAGAGCTACGTAAACTAGACAAAAGCAGCAAAATGCCTGCAAGTTAATCAGAATACACAGGGTCATTGCAAATCTTCAGATCCTACTGCATTGTTGGTCCTCAAACAGCTGTCCACAGCACAAAGGAAATATATGATCTGATGTGGAATAAGACAAGCAGGTGGCATTGGCTGAGGAAACTGAAATCACAGAATCTTCTGAGTTGGAAGAAACCCACAAGGATCATCAAGTCCAACTCTTCAAGTGATGGCCCATATGGGGACCGAACCAGCAGCCTTGGTGTTATTAGCACCATGCTCTGACCAACTGAGCTAACGTTATTCTTCCTCAAATCTTTTAGGCAGCAGTACCTACGATGGAACTGTTGGAGCCATTGGCAGCAGAAATATCTTGTGGGTTTTCATATCTATTCTGAAAACCTTTAAGGCAACAGCCAGGTCTTCCCACTCCAGGACAAGACTGATCCTTTCAAGGGAGAGATGAAGTTATGGGACAGAGTAAGGTGTCTCTTTTGGGGGCATACTGATAAGTCACCCAACCTGACAGTCCTGGATCCTTGTACCAAGCAGCCAAAGCCAAAAGGCAATGACTTGAAGCAAGAATCAAGAATCTGAGGTCAAGTCAGGCCAAAATTAATAACTAAAGGCCTCATGAGGACAAGGACAATACTCAATTTAACTAGAGCCAGGGCGAATGTCATAATAACCCAGAAAGGCACCAAGCACTATCTAGGAAGCAGAGTCCAGGCAAGAGCAGGACTGGAGCAGGACAGGTGCTGTGAGGTGCAGAAGACTAGAGGAAGCAGGAGCTGCCAGTACAAAAGCAGGGATTTGGATAGAACAAGAGCAGATCAAAACATTGAACAGAACAGAAATGAGGAGAGAGAAGCTTTCCCTCAAGTCCTGTCTTAGAAACACATCAGAAACCACAAGCTCTAACCTAACTGTAGCTGCCTAAAGGACTGGGAGCCAAGCCATATCAAGAATTTCTCTAACATCCAAAAATGTTGCTCATGATGTAGGGCACTTTGCATACATTTCTTTCTAGGTAACTTTTAATACAAATAAATGAAGGCTAGCAAAAGCCAGCCCCAAAACCTCTAGCAGATACATGTCAAGGCACAGTGTCATGATATGCTGCCTTTACAGCAATGCCCATTCTCGCTATTCCATCTGTTTCTTCCCATTCCTACCATTCTGCCCCACTGATGACAAGTTACACAGCATTGGCTTGCTCTCTTTGAACCTGAGAATTGATCAGATCTAGAAAATGTTTTAAAATGCTGGTCCGGTTCCCTGATTTCATTCACAACATAACCAAACAAACATTTGTACTACCACAGCTAAGGAATCAGCACAAGGGTAAGTAGATTCCTACAGGCAAGGAGGAACACTATAAACCATCACGGCCAACATACCATCAGATCATAACTGGACAGTGCAGGAAGAAATATCAACTTTTATCAATCTTTAAAACTATTTGTCAACAAAAACAGTAGTAACATAGAAAAAAGGAAACAATGCAAGATTTATATCCATGTCTGACAGTAAGGCCTGATTTGCTAGAAGACTCTTTTGCCAACTTCTATGTAGAAATTGCCACAACGTCTTACTAGAAAACTAGATTCACATATGCTGGATTAAAAACAATAATGTTCTAGAGAAAAAGGAGTTTGGCTCTTTGAGAATCTATTGGTGATATCCTTCTGGCTGCTCTGTGTGCAAAAAGAAGCCTTTGGTGTCACTTTATGCATGAGATGGTCCTGGTTACAGTCATTCAGGTTACATAAGCACAGATGTAAAAATAACCATCAAAAGATCCTTTAAAGGATGAGACCTGCCTAATAGAGTAGCTGTTGAGACACACTCATTATAAAGGCTTCAAGAGTGTCCAGGAAAAATCCCCAGTTTACCTCAAAGAAGTCACCTGAACCACACACAAACTACCAGGTTCCAAAAGAAAAGAAACTCCTCTGTATGAACTTTTTTGCCAGCCACAATGAAGGAGAGAGACCTGACGGTGGCCAGGAGATGCATATGCTTCCTAAATGATTAATTTTCCCAACACTCTCCTTAGATACTTTTCCACTTAAGACTCATGGCTTATCCCATGTTTTTCAGGAGAACGTGTGTGAAGTACTTTAGAACTAGGAAGTAAAACATTTTTGTTCACCTTACGTTCTCACGTCTAAGAATATACAGGATTGGTACAGAATTCTACACTTGACGCACACCCCAATCCCTATGTTTTAACACATGGAAGGGAAACTTGGGCACCTCCAATTCCCTCTGTGAAGCCATAGCACAATTTCCACTGTCCCTGGGGCAGAACCAGACTTCTCTACACTCCTGTATTGGTGCTCATAGGAAAGTAATGGGATCGCCTAGATTTCAATAGTGAGAGTGTGTGCAATTGCTGATAAAACAGAGACTCCTCCCCGAGCTTTTCTGCACTCAATACCCTTGAATTTTAAAGTGCAGTTGTGTCTAAAAACTGAACTAATGTTCAGTAATGCACAGACATGTGCAAAATAGCCAATACCCTGTATACTACAGTACTATGTATATGGCCTGCATCGATGCAATGAAGTCTTCTTGATCCAGATGGGGATTCATGAGAGTGCTATCAGGAAAGGAATATTTATAAAGTAGAAACTATAAAACTCCCAGTGTTAAGTACATAGTCGTTTGAATTCATATAAAAAATAGCAAATTTTAACACCAAAACAAAAATGCTAAAACAAACATACTACACTTAGACAAAATGAACTCTCTACCAGTATTTATGGTCACGTACTGTGGTCTGACATTGACGTTTCTAACATCATATCACTTTCATTCATTTCAATCTCAAATGTTTCTTCCAATGGGCGACTGGTATCTGTACTTTTCCTTTGATTTGATGTCTCTAATGTTACTATGCCACTTTCATCCAGAGTTTGTCTTTCTATGTCGAATTCTCTGAAATCCCAGGGAGGTGAAATTATGTTCTTTAATGTCTTCACTGTGTGTACATCAAAGTCATAACATCTTAATTTGTCTTTGATCTCCGTTCCTAGGAAAACAGACAAACCATTAGTTTATTCCAAATGAACACTCCCAAAAACATCTCTCAAAGAAACTGTTATCCAGAAACTACTATAATCCTTTGCTTTCAGATCATCAGGGAACTATTGCTGCTTAATGACTGAAAATGAATAGAATTGTTTTGAAAAAATCCAGCAGCCTCCTTTTTGAAAAAAGCATAATAGAAGAAGCACTACTCAGATTCAAAAGTCTGTTATGAGATGTAATTGCCAATTCCCTTCCCAATTCTCCAAGGGGCTTTTTTCCTTGTTTAAGTTACACACAGCTTGGTTTGCATTAATGCATATCACATGGCTGCATGGTTCTTCCAGATGTGTTAAATAACTACATATGGAGAAAGACAATATTGAGAAGAAACATCTGCTTCAATTGTGCAAAAAATCTGCTGGAAAAGCACTAGAGCACATAGATGGCTTTTACTCTTAAGGCTTCAGCCTTCTTAACATGCTTGACAGAACATCAACTGTGTTCACTACAGATAAAACACTAAGTTCAATGAAGCAGAAATCTGTCACTGTAAAGTTGTGGGGGAGGGGGCAGAAAACTTTCACGGAAAATTTAAAACTATGGCAATATAATGTATTACAGTTATGAAGCCCTTTTTTTTGTTACTATATGTAAAGCTGTATTTTTGGAGTCAGAAGAATTTATCCTGTCTCCACAGAGCCAAGTTTTAACATGGTGAAAATGCCTTGCTCTACAGCAGCATTAGCACTAGTGCTCTGATTTCCTAACTCTGTATCTCTCTTTTATTTTTTCCTTATTCCCTTTGGTGTCTAAGCTGCCACAAATCAACATTTTCTATAAAAGAAACCATCAAAACCTTCAATGATAAATTGTTTCCTTTCTTTATGCTGGTAAGAATTTACTGTCATGATGTTCACAAAAAACAGTGGTCATCTGCAATTGCTGTGAAATTCTGCATCATTTAGCCATTAAAAAAACAACCAAAAAATCCAAACAAAGGCATACTCTACTTTGTAAGTTGATGAGGTAGTGGTAGACAGTCTTTCTTGACATAGGAATAACACTCCTCTCAAAAGACTCAATGATTTAGAGTCATATAGGTTAAAGACTTACCAATGTAGGCTTCAGAATCACCAATGTACATTTCTATGCAGTGTCCAAGCATTGTGACTGAAAATGTGTCATCCCTCCTGAGACCAAGGGCCTATTAAAAAAACCAGTAAAAAGTATTTAGTATCAAATAAAACAGTAGCAGAAGTCTGCAATAGTTCGGTTTGTTATTTTGTTGTTCCACAGTGCTATCTGAGCATAGTCTTCACTCTAAAAGCAAAACATTGCACAACTCAAATAACACCATCACATGAACTCTCTGAAGTAGCAAGCAAGCAAAACCAGAAAAGCATATAAATACAGACAGAGAAGCATTCAAAAATCATGAGATATAACATATGTTGCTGTAAAATTTCTCCTTTAAGGCATGGTTTGGAAGTATTTGAAATTACTTCAGCTGCATGACAAGCTTATGTACATGAAATGTAAATTGCAATAATGACAGTCAAAGTTTGCCAAAGAGGCCATTTTTTAACCTAATCAGTAGAAAACTTCAGAAGCTATTTTTTAAAAAAATTAAGATTATAAAATAAACAGTAATTTGGAGGCTGGGAAAAATGCTAGTTCTCTTTTCCAAACCTAAACCAGAACGAAAGAGGTAAATCAGAGAATCTGTGACCAGCACTTTAACTGAAGGCAGTTACGTACCGTATGAAAATAGTCGATTGCGCTTTCAAAGTTGCCCATTAAGCTGTGTATGTAGCCAATGGCAGAGTAAGTAGAAGCATTCTGAGGAATTAATACTAGAGCCTGGCGATGGTATTCCAGTGCTTCTTCATACTTCCTGTTAGGGTTAAATACAGAAGATTGATTAGTAAGTGGAACACAATTGTGCCAGAACTTAAAAATTATTGCTTTATACTCTGAACTTAACAGAATGTACAAAAGACTCATGGATATTGACAATTTTCTTCCCCAGTGTAATTGAGAAATCATTGTTCTCCTTATGTAGCAAAACAGATGCCTACAGGAGGCCCCATTTGGAGATGATCTTAGCCATTTGATATGGTAAATTGCTTTACATGCTTAATGCTGCTCATTGTAACATTGGCTTGCTTTCCGTAGCTTTCATTTGCCTCCCTGGGGGAGCGATGGAGCAATACGAGACTAAATTCTGCATCATTCAAACTGAGAAAAGCTCTCTGGGCAGAAATTTCAGAAGCCTGTGCTGCATACACTGGTACTCTTGTCAATTCTGTTTTGCTATACTCTCTATCAAAAAAGGAGGTTTACACATACCCATAATTTCTTTCAAATACCAGTCACCTTTTCTTTGAAAATTATCTATTAATTAGACTGATTGTTACATTTGTTATTTTATAAAACAAGGATTAAATGTACACTATGACATTACTCTGAGAAATTAAATTTTCACGTTTGACATCCCAGTTCCACATTGTTAAAAAGAAAGATAGCAGTTGCCTACTCATGACAAATTTTAATGACTATAGTGATAATGAAATTATGTAAACAGCAACACATGAAGTTGTTAGAGGGCATCAAGTAACAATCGAGGCAGAAAAATTATGCAACTGTTTGCTTGCTGCACAACCCTTTCACGATGCAATTTTATTTTCACTCATAGTATTCACATGTCCAATTGACTACCACTGTATTTTAATATGCTGCTTTCAAATTACAACCCCTTAATATTAGTGAGTAGTCATAGATCCAGCAAGTTTTTTCATAATAGCCATATTGTGTATTACAAACTCTATTAAATTAGTTATTACAGAGTTTTTAAGTTTTCAAAGCATATGTACAGCTGCCTAAATTCTCAACTTGATTTTCTTGAAAGATGGTTTACAAGGATGCAAAAATATATTAAGGTTTGATTTCTGAACCTGAACAAATACTACAATGCAAGTTGTACAAAGAGTGATGTAAGCAGTTACTTACTAACTTACTGTAGAAATTTAAAAAAAAAGACAAAAGTAATCATAAACAAAACAAGTATTTGAAAAAACCCTGCAATTATACTCATGAACAGACTCCAGAAGCAGTGCCTTTTGTTTGATCTTGGCACAAGGAGTAACTATTATATGTTCTTATTTTATAATGAAAATGAAGACTAATTGGCAATTCGAGCACAAAGCAATTACTACCAAAGCCAAAGCAGAAGTACAACTTTCATCTACCATAATCACATTCTCATTAGCAGCTTTGAAAAAAAATTACCAACTGGGCAATTAAAACCGTGACACTAAAAAAAGAACAAAAAATATGGCATTGATTGAATAAAAGAAAACACTGGTTAAAGTCAGATTAAGGTAATTAATGAGAAAACATGTCTCTGTGTTAGAACTGTTAAAGCTTGCATAGGTACTTTGCACTTTTGCTGTTCATGGAATGGAAACATAAAATGAAATAGTTTTGTTCTACAAAAACATAAAGTAATATTTCCTTGCTGTGTTAATGGGACTAAATATTTCACTTCAATAAGGAAAAGTAAGTACTAAACCAAGCAATTAATTGGCACAAAACCACCTTTATGTTAATTAAATCAGTGGACATATTCCAATATATGAGGACTGAGACAGCAGACAGCTAAAATTCACACCCATACAAAGATCTAAAAGCCTATGATCAAATCTCTATCTAATAAGAATCAATAATTAAGGAAAGGCTTTTATATTAAGGACTTTAACTGGTGTGTGGTAAACTGGATATAAGGGGCGATTAATGTATTTACATTCACAAGCTGATTCAGAGAATCATCTTCTTATAGGGTACTTCTACACTGTTCTCATGTGGTAGATGATATAAATGAGAGAGAAAGCACATTTTTGCAGCATTACAGAAAAATGCAGCTCCAGTAGTCTCTGCTTACTTGAGTTTTCTGCAGACATGTCCTAAGTTGTTCAATAAAGGCTCCCACTTATCAACTGTCACCTGCAAAATAATGCAGCAATTCAAATAACTGCAGCTTCTCACACTATAACTAAATTTGTTAGTTACAACAAATAAATGCCTTATTCATTTGAATGTTTGGGGTTAAAAAAACCCCAAACATACAAATGAATAAGGCATTTTATTTATGACCAAGAAAATTATCAGGAACATTTTAAATTCTTTACAAAACACACATTTAAGCCCCAAACCTTTATTCAATAACTCATTTTTCTATTTTATCCATTCCCCAAAGCCAATTAAAACTTGGGTGCAAACCAAATAGAACTTGTTTTCTACTTAACTAAAAAGAGTCTTAGCTAGGAGCACCGAAAACCCCCTCAAATTAGGTATTTGTAAAACAATCATGAATACTGGAAGTCTTTTTGCTGTCTTCTCCATGGTCTCACTTCATCTGCTCTACATAAATTAGCTCATTTATGAGGAACACAGAAGACAATCTGAGCCAACAAAATCCTTAAAATGCTTTTTACTGAAATTAAAAATAAATTGAGCTTTTGCATTATGAATTTGTGGTTTATAATAATATAATACTATCTTCTGAATCTCTACTTATTTTATGTGTTTCCTACACTAATTCTAAATATTCATTTGCGTGTTTCCAGATTGCTGGTATTTAGTACTTCTCAATAAACATGAAAAATGCCACATAGAAAAGAATTTATGCATACACGTAAATTTAATTCTGGTCTATAAAGCTTATGGCATTTCCACGAACAACATTACATTAGCTTTAACTAAAACAGAACAAGCCCATTTATATATTGGTGAGCATATAAATTAGTAGCTGCACAGTTTGTTTTAGTAAATATGTGCCTTGTCCACATGAAGATTTTTAGTTCTTCAGCACTTTCCACTTTATAGCTTACTGTGCTCTAGAAGCAATTTCCTTATATTGATAGGAGATGATTTGTTAACACAGTAGCGTGAGGTGATGTCCTCATTAACTAAATTTAAGCTAAAAATTGAGAAAACCTATCTTAAAATTCACAAGAAGCCTGTCACAAGGTGGTACTGCTTTCATTAAGGCATCTTGAGTTTCTTTAGTACAATATGCTTCTTTAGACAAGATGATATCACACAAATAACCATTACTGCCAATAGGTACACATTTACTTGTACTCCAGCGTGAGGAATCAGGATTGTAATGGTCAACTTTTGATTCACAAAAGCACCTGAACTACATTTCCTAACAAACCTTTTGCTAGTGATTGTTTTGGTTAATTTCAGGAAAGTTAGTTAAGCATCTCTGAGCACATTCCTACTCAGTGTCTCTATCCGGGAGAAAGAAAACAAATCCATACCTACAGAATTATGACCCCACAAAAGTGGAAGTCATTCAAGAAATGGCTAATACTTAAGGTAGCAGAAACCATCGTCATATGTGTACCCAGTTCCACCCTCAGTCAAGAACAATTGTTCTTCTAAGACCCAGGTCTGAGAATAAGACCTGGATTTCACTCCCCAGTCAGTGCTTATTTTTCTTTTAATTTCATACAGAAAAATACTTTTTGTTTTTTCCTGTAGCACTGAAGATGATACATGACAATTCTCCTCTAAAAACCCAACACACCAATTACAAGTAGGTGGTCCAAGTTTTAAAGTCAAATTTATATTGTATTGCTTTTAACTTAAAATAAGAACAACATAAATTGTCACAAGACATTATAGAATTTGCTAGTTTTACAGATTTATAATCCCATATATTAGTAGGAAAAATACCTCATTTCCAATAGCTTTGATTTTTTCCAGTGCATCAAGGAACCACTTTTCTGCAGTCTTCCAGCTAAGAATTGAGGGGGTGGGGAGAAAGAAAATTAAATTAGTGAAGAGTTTTCATTAGCAGTATGAGAAAACTATATTACAAGGAAGAGTTCTTTGATATTATTTCATTGTATGAATGGAATTAGATGTAAAACACAGTCATTTACACTTGGCTATATTTTGCATTGTGGTCCTAAGAAGTAATAAGACAAAGTTTAAAAAATCAGAATCAAACCAAGTATATTGACTAAACACTTCATAGAACTGTTAGGGTTTTTTTCAGAATATATTTGGAACCTCCTGAGCTGACAAAATGTTTTGCTGTACAAAATTTTATAGCATGTGTGCATATAGATGCCTTCAGGCATGCAACTACATAATGACTAGCACATGGAAGGTAATATTCATCTCTGCATGCTCCTCAAGCATTAAATTCTGTCTTTGTTCAATCTTATACAAGAAGAACAATCTAGAAAGCAAGGGTTTAGGGTAAACACCATCTAGACTAGAACCAAAAAACACTATAGCTCAAAGTAAGTACTTAAGTACACATACTGACACATTACACTTCAGAGTAATTCATGTTCAGGATAGTATTTAATCATATTTTGCAAGCTTACTCTCCATTTTGAAATGCTACCACTCCAACTTCATGCATAACAAAAGGATCTTCAGGTGCAATGCTTAAAGCTTGGCTGAAAAACCGTTCAGCTAACTTGGAGTTGTTGGTCAAACCGTATTCCAGTCCAATGTAGAGCATCGGCAAATGACACCTAAAAAACCATAAAACAAACTGTGTGTTTGTTTTTGTGTGGTTACTAGGAATGGAGTTGCAAACTATAAAGAAATGCCAATTGTGTTTGCATATGTTTATGTACAACCAAGTAAAAGCTGATTTAAATGGACTATTAACCTAAAGGGAAGTTTGAAAGATTTTACATCTCTGTAAGTTATTGACAAGAATTTAAACTCCAATACATGACTATAACATGCTCTGGAATTACATGTATTTTCTCAGTGCTTAAGTTAGTTCTGAAGGTTTTTTCTCTAGTTTCCTTTGTACGTTTAATTTACAAATAGAATATGGAAGAAGCAATAATTAGATTACATCTACCAATAACCACAATCAAATACAACAGTTTTATATGCAATATTACATTAGTCCACGACTCATTTTACAACCTTCTCCCAGAGCATGAAAGAGCTGGTTAGGATATTACTATACAGCAGTTGATGACCTGGTGTAACAACCATGATTTACAAATTTCATAGATCTGTCAGGTAGAACATAGATTACCTAAATATAAATCTTGACTTTAGAACTTACAGAATCACAACAGCAATCACAAATAATGCAGCTAAATGCAGATGATTAAATTATTTGGGGTTTTTTTTTGTTGTTGTTGTTCTCTAACAGATAATTATTGCAAATGTATTGCTTCTACCTATTGTTTCAAGGGATATAAATCAATATTCTACACTATCTATGGATGTGGATATTCCTGAATATGACATTTTTTACATACCCTTTCATGAGCTGTGCAGCTGTGAAATATGCAGCCATTGCTTGGTCGTGCTCACTCTCAACTGCAAATGAATGCCCGTATGCTATCCATGCAGGTCCATAGGTTCGCTCAAGTGTAGTAGCTTTGCTAAAACACAAGCAAACACATCTGAAATTAAATTTCACCTGCTTCAGATGACTGCTTAGATAGCAATGCTGTGTCACACAGTTAGGTATCTGTTAAGAAATCACCTGCAATGACCAATGGTAAACAAAGTTAATTTTAAAAGTTCAAACTCTTTAGCACTTAGAAGTTCACACACTGTCATGAATTCATGATTGTATTATTTCTACTACTTCATGGACAGCAGAATTATTTGATATTATTAAACATAAACAGTTATATAGTAGGTGAATTGAATAAAATATAGAAAACATTAGTAGTGACTCATAATGTATTGCAAAATCCTAGCTATACATTTGAAAATAAGTATATGCTAAAAAAATCCAAGTTTCACAAGCAGGATATGAAAATACCAAATGAACACTTAGGTTGAATTGTGTCTTGAAATTTTGCTATATAATTGTTCTAGCCTTGAAGACGACAAGTATTTGTCACACCACAGGCCATGCATCAGGGAAGTATGTCACTCAAGTCTCAAGCTGAAAACTGCAACCTGAGCATCAAGACTGCACTCTAGAGTCTTTACAGAAAGATGGACTTGACAGGAACATTGGAAAGCTGTATAGATTATTTTCTGAGTCTGAAGGCAAGGGCATTCGTAACTAAACAGCTCATGACAAAAGTGCCCAGTCTTTTCTTAAAAGCTTCTGACATGGAGATCCTACATGCTCCACAAGTAATCTACTCTATTGCTTAACTATCCTTAAACACTTCATTTTTTTCCTAACATTTAATCTAAATTTTGTTTGCCACAGTTAAACTCACTATTTCTCATCACAGCTCCTAGAGAATGGTGTGTTCTCTGTCTCCTGGGACAAAATTTCACATATTCAGACGCTTGCATTTTGCCACCCAGGACATACTTGGGTATTCAAGTGTGTCTTTGAGTTTCGTTTCTGAAAACCACTGCACAGCCCACACTTGTCCCAGCCTTGTTAGCTGTACACTATCATTCTTCTCCCAGAAATTTAAGCTTCTTGTTACTATTTCACTTTTACCAGATCTCTTTTTCTTTTTGCCAGAACTACTCTGAATTCTGATGTTTCGTTTGTGGGTTTTTTTGTTTGGTTTTCTCTTCAACACATCTATAGACCCTTTCTTTCTGGCTAAGGATGCTTATAGATTTAAAGATGGTTTTTATTTCACCACCAAAACCACATATGTCACTCAGGACAGCTTCTTGAAGAACTTCACACTGATACTTGTGAGGAATTTAAGCAGTTTACTCATAATAATCAGGCATTTAAAAAGTCTAAATAACTAACCCAAAGGCTTTACCTTTATTGTCTATAAAGGTCTTAAGAAGAAAAATGAAAGTCTTATAGGTTGATTTATGCCTTCTCAGTTTAAGCTTACAGCACCAAAACAAATGCCCTACTTCACAGCAAAGTCCTGCTCTCCAGTGCTGATATTCACTACATATACAGGAGACCTACAGGAAAGAGCATTGACCAAACTTAAAAAGTCCACAGTTGCTTGTGCACAGAAAAAACTAGACAGCCAAGTGTCAGAATTTTCTATCTAATTCTTTCCTTTCAGATACGAAACCTGAGGCCGGGAGAATGCCTGAGTGTCTTCAAACTAAGGACTGAGGCCTGATTACCTAGCTGTAGTTAGCTTGGCAGCATGAGTGAATGCAGGGACTACACCTGCCCATAACAGCCAGGTGACTGCCAAAAGAGATGCTGCATTAGTCTCTATCATTTTTAAAGTATCTAGATGGATGAAATCTAAATTGCCATATCAAAAAAAGGGTGGCAACAAAAGGAATATTTTACTAGTAACCAGTTTAATGAGGGTTCTGTTTATGAGCTTGCAAACAATCACAAACATTAAATATTTATTTAGCAAATGAGCAACAGGAAAAAAAAACTACCTGAGATATCTTCTAGCATGTTCATTTTTGTGGCCAACCATGAGATAGTAGCATCCTACTGCAAACCATGACACCTACACATTAAAATCAAAATAGAATATTATTAGATATATCACAGTCATTTTAGTGAAACATCAAAAGAGAGAGACAGATAATAGAGAAGTCGGGAACATTTTCACTGAAATCACAGTCAGCTCTTCAAATTATTTGATGATATATGCTGGCATGTAACTCTTTAACTGGGGCTTGTTCAGCTCTCAAAGAGAGAGCTAAGTGGAAACCTGTCTTCAATTATCTAATGATAAGGAATACAGAAGACAGAGCCAGACTCTCACAGGGGTTCAGTGACAGGATGGGAAGCAATGAGTAAAAGTTGCAACACAAGAAATTCAGATTGAGTCAAAGAAAACTAATTTTCACTGTGAAGGTGATCAAACCCTGGAAAAGGTTTCTCAGAGACGCGTAGATTTTTATTACTGCAGTATGTGTTTTAAATTTTTATTCAAAGTTAATAACTCGCACTGAATACCTTTTACAGACACTTTGTTTTAAAAAGAGAACCTTGGTATAAGAAAATTACAGTGCATAGAAAATAAAAGGAGTGAAGCATTTTTACAACCTTCATCCAGAAACAGATTTTGAATTCTGTTGCTCAAACTGACTATTACATTACACCTTTTACATGCTTTCACTAAAAAAACTACCAGGCAATGAAGGCTTAGAACAACTTACAGGATTATTTGGGTACAAGTCCACCAGTTTGTGAGAAAGATAGAAAAGCTCTACATAATGGGAAAAAACAAGAAAAGAAAATTAAAACACGGTAAAACATTAAGATGTTTCAAGTCTTTCAGCTTTCCATACAAAATATCCAGAACATCCAACATTATTAATTCACAAGTAAACAAAAATATTTTCTGTTCAGTGGTAATGCTTCAAACTGCCTCAAAAGAGATTTGGTTTTGCAATTAACTAAAAAAATCCCAACCAAAACAACCCATAAGTATTCACGGCACACAAATAAGCAACTATACTTCCCACCCCTTAAGAATTCTGCAACAATTTAGGTCATTAACATACATTAAAATAAATGCCTGTAGTATTACACTTGAATGTACCTTGTCAAGGTAAAACACTATTGAACTTTCTACATCTAAAAGGTATAACATACTGGCTAGATCCATTTCAAAGTAGAGTCCTGTGCATTAATATGCTGAAAATAGGACAAAAGCAAATAAATTATTATATTACTTAGAATAATTCTAAGTGATTACTTTTCTAATAAAAATAATAATTCTACTTATTGGAATAACTTAATACAGATTTTCTGACAATAGCTGCAGTAATCAGATACAGGGTAACAGTTCTACTGCCTATATGGTTTCAAAAGAAACAGCATTATGGTACGTAAAATTTCTATTTCTTCAGAGCACAGGGCTCTTAAACCGATGAGATTGTCCTAGAGCACTTTGCATCAATTCTCAGCTCCAGAAAAATCAAATTTTAAAACAGGCTTAAAAAATACCAACTTATTTACAAAATGCTTCTTGAGGCAGACTTAGAAGAACAAGCAGATCACCAGCTCGACTTTCAGATGTAGTTAACTGTAAAATAACTGAGAAGCACATTCACTAATCACCAAGAAATGCTAGTACTCCTAATGACCTATTTGCATACATATAATGCACCATCCTCTGACAGCCTGCACTATTATATTTTCCATTTGGTTTTAAAGACATTCAAGCTTTGATTTGGATGTTTATATGCAGCCTGAAATAAGAAAAAGCTATGCCAGCTGCAAATAAGCTATTATTGTAATTCCAACAAAGGTGTTGCATGATTATTAACTTGTTTGAACTAAAGAGGCCTTCACAACAGCGAGGCAAGGAGAGTCTAGAATCTTTTCTAACACCGGATAACCATGTCCACCCAAGCATACACAACTGCTGAGGAATTCTTTCTGGCGTCAATTAATATAATTTATTTTTCAGCAGAAAAAGTACACCCAGATGCTCTACAAAGATCACCTCAAAACACAGGAATGAGGCAGTGTAGCTCACTGTCCTCCTGGTTATATAGTCCAGTGGTAAAGAGACACTGACACTCATGATCATAAATGAATAAAGACTCTCTGCACAACTACTTCCCCCCAGTCCTGCTGTCAGCTCTGAAATTCCCTTCTTTTCCAGTTACCACTGTTTTCTTGAAACTGCAGGTAGGAAGAAAAATATATGTAACATTTCAAATGGTACATAAGGGGGTTACTTGGCATCTTTAATTCTTTATTAAAATTGAGGCTTTACAGTATTCTGTTGACTCATTAAAATGTTGGGTTTCTTACCATTTGCTTTATTAAGCTCCACAAGTGTCCCTATATGTACAGGTAAACAATTTGCATGGAAGGGATCTTTTTCCATAACTCTAAAAGAAAAAAATAAAACAAAATCTGCAATGCACATTTCAAAAAATTTAATGTGTTATATGTAAGCTGCTTGTATAGTATGTAATGTTCCAGTTAATTACCACTTTAGGCAAAGAAAACTATTTGTGACTAGGAGGTAACTATTAATGGCGTAATAAAGACTCTCTTCAGACCAGAAAAATAACAATTAATTTACCTTAACAAAAGAGGAAACCAGAAAATTCTGTCAAGCTGAATATACAATTAGAAAATCAGAATACAATGCACTTTTATTTGCAGGTCACTTCAAATTTAACTATCAGACAGCAAGCAACAACATTTCCGTTCATCTTTTCCATATATATTGACAGCACTTTCAAGCAATAGTTCTCAACTTCCTGAGCTTAGCACTAGGCAGTATGCCTTAGGAATCAGATTTTGCTCAGTTGTAGAATTTTGTTTCCTGTGGCATTCAGAAACACAACCACATGTTCAGATTTACAGTAGCTGAGAAGCAAACCAGGGTGGTGTTCTGACCCTTCTGACAACTGAGCAGCAGTGTATGCCCAGGCTGTATAACAACTGACACTTGGCCCATCAAAATTAGAAATAACATGTTAACTTTTAAAATTAATAATATATTATCATTAATAACATCATAACTTTTAATCAGCCAGAGAAATCATACTTCCTAACTAACCAACGGATTAAAACCTGCTCATTACAAAGACGAAACAAGAAGTAGGCAGAGAGCAAACAAAACTGAAAGTACCAGAGAAAGGAAGGGATGGTTGAAGGAAAGTGCAGCACAGTGCTGAATAAGTGGAGTTTTGGTTTGGATACTTCTGGTGCATATTATAAAAATAATGTGTCTTGCCATACACGAGCTACACATTATAAATACCTGAAACATATATAACATATATTCTGAAATACATATCAAACTGTTATGTGTGTCAATCCATTGAACAACAATATTGGCTATAAGTCCAGGCAAAATGATTACACTTCACGATATGAGGAAAAAAACCCTAAAAGTTGCTTTGTATACTTACACTGAAGTAAGCTTGTAACACATTTTGAAATCACAGTTATAATAATGTCTTTCAGCTAAGGATACCACCACGTCTAGGTTTTCTTGAAGACCATCTACTGATTCAGGAATCACTGTTTCACTGGGCTTATTATACTGAAAGAGAAAAGAAACATCGCGTGAAACAAAAACCAATCTAAAATCAGATGATCTAAGTATTAATATTTTTAGTGCTAAAAGAATATTTAAGAAGCACTAAAGTTCTTAAAAATTAAATTTTCAAACTGAAAGTCCATAAAACAGGTATTTGGTAAAATGCTTCTTTACAATGTACTTAAAAGCTCATTTAGAACATGAAAGATGTTTGCCAGGGTCAATATCTTAAGTGTAGGCTGTAGAAGTTAATAATGAGCAATACATAGTTGGTTTTCAGTACTCTCACATTATCTTTGGGAATAAAAAAGTCTGGAATGATGTTGCTATATCGGGTATACTGACATTTTGTCTACATTATTAATGCTCTTTTTCTTGGCATAGAAGTTTCTCAAGAAATAAAGCTTAAGAAACATAAATCAGAATTTCAATTTGTCACCACACCAGAAAACAAGTATTCAGAACACTGTTATACTACTCCATGAAGTGATATGTACTGTATTAAAAATTTTAAAATAGCCAAAAATTACAAAGCCCTTATTTATTTCAATGTTCACAATAAATGGGATACAAGAAACTTTACACCCAAAGTCGAGACTTTCAATCAATTCTCTAGCTTTTTAGTCAGTTTGGGGATTTACCTTTTTCAATTTATTCTCAAATAAAAAGTGAAGCAATTCCTGTTCTTCTTCTGTACATTGTCTACTAAGAGGTAGAGATTCAAGAAGTTCTTTTTCTGGAGGAATTAAAAACAATCGAAGGGGTCATATTACAGAATAAACAGCAAGATACAACATTTTAAGAACTTAAAGATGCAAAGAACTTTATGCTGGTCATCCCAACTACAGGGAAGATAACAGCACAGATACACTGAAACAGATAATACTACTAATGATGGAAATTAAGGAGTGAATTCTTAGTTTTTCCTTCTACACTGTTAAATAAATTTTAATGAAGATGAGATAACACACCACTGTTTTCATGTACTCTACATGTCAAATTTTATCACTCAGAATGCTCTGTTAATCAACGCCTGCTATAACTAAGCAAACACCAGTAGGGTTTCATGGATTCAAAGCTATGAAGTTGAGAACACAGGTAAAGACATTGTTTAGGCTGGACAAAGAGCATGAGAGCTTCCGGAGCTAACAAACAGGAATGCTGCGTTACTTTGTTTCTTTCAGCTCTTAGCACTGCAAGACTGAAAAAGAAAAGATCAAATGCAAATTTGCACAGATCGTAATTTTCACTCATTTCATACATTTTCTATTATTTGAATTATTATTTTGAAGTCTGCTATTTGTTTTATGGCTTTAATTTTAATCTAGGAAAACGCATATTGAAAAAGCAGGTAAATTTTACTTGTACTTGAGAAATACTTCTATCCAAACCTTCTTGTGCTGTCAGCATATGGTGTGACGTTAAAAGATCAAATGCTTCAAAGCAGTAAACATCAAGCTTCAAAGCCTCTTTGTAGCTGTAAGTTGCCAGGGCTCTATTATCCAAAGCATCATAGATCTTCCCTCGCAAAAGGCATATGGAGCTCTTGATCTGGTGGAAAAGCAGGACTGGAAGTCAGAGACTGAATCAATGTTTACCATTTGGTTTTGAGCACAAATCAAATGGGCTACCTGGAAAGTAAAAAGCATTTCATGCATGATAGAACCTGGTTTTCTAGTGCTGTTTTTAAATAAAAAAAATGTTTCTGCTATCTCAAAAAATTTCAAAAGAATGCTCTGTCAGGTTATCTAACAAACACATGCTTGAAATAAGCAATAGAAGGATAGAATTTATCTTTTCTACTTCTGGCATCCAGCTCTCTGATACTGAGTTGTAAGCTAATAATACTCACAGAGAAACTGTCACTTCTTTGTTGACCATTAAACCACATATTTCATGCAAGACATGAAAAAGGCCAAATCTGTGGACTCAACTCTTCTGAGCAGAAACATATATCCTTCCTTTCAATCCAAAACAAAGATGTTCCAGAAATTAAAGCAGTGAAAGATTATTATTAGCACAGTTGTGCTAAAATGTCTAATAACTAACATGTTCTTTCAGAATTCCCTAGATGGGTATTCAGCACAGTCAGAAGGCCACAGAAGTGTCAGCAAAAGAGAAGGTTAGCACATTACCCATCTCTATCACCAGACTAAACAGACAGATCCAACTCTCCCGAGTTCCCGCATCAGAAACAGAGCAGCTGCATCAACAACGAATAAACCTCAGGAAACTTTTAAAGCAGTAACACCGTAACCAGCTCAGAGATCAGTCACCCAGTCTGTAGTGTCTGTGCAAACTAGGGAGAATTTTGAGCTAATATTTCTTGTTGCAGTACCCATTTCAGTAGTTCTCTCCTTTGGCAAACCAAACCCATTCTCTTCCTAGTGAACTGCATTATCACAAGCATTTCTGAAGGTAAAGACTGACAAAGTCAAGTTTTTTGGCTGGATTACTTTTCAGTCAAAAGAGTTTCCCAATTTACTTCAATAATCAGCCAACAAAACACCAGGGCCAGAGTATCGTGAAACAGAGAGCAAGAATAAACAGCCAAAGCTGAGGACTTCTTCCTTTGCTTGTAGTGGTAGTTTAAATATTCCCAATAAACAGATGCACCACAGTCACGTAGTCTAAGCTACTTCTTCTTAAAAACCATTATATCAGCATTATATCAGTCCACATCAACAATTTAACTCACTTTGCTACTTCAGTCTTACAGGGAAAACACCACCTATCAATCGTCTTCACTGTAGTTTCAGCTAATAAATTTCAATTTGTAACTCTGAAACTGAAGACTCTTCACAGACCATTCAGCCTACACGTGGTACCAATCCATTTTAACTGTCTGCCTATGCAGGATTTTTTCACTGAGCTTCAAAAACTTCACCTTTATATCACATAGTTTTCACAAGTGTGATCAAAAAATGTTCCACTGAGAATAACACTTGAGTGTTTATGAAGTAATTCATTAAAAATAACCAGAGAAGAAAACTTGCTTTGTTATCTCAGAACCTTCAGCCCAATTGAAAGAAATGTTAGCTCACATTATCAAGACTGAAATTGCAGCACAGAGATAAAAGACCGTAAAAAACAACACTAGATCATGAAGTTCCTGCAAAGTGTCTGCAAATAATTTATGGGAAGTTGTCAAAGAGCACTCTTTATTTTTGCAAACCAAGTTACTTCCATACAGGAAGTTAACACATGATCTGTGACTGAAAAGAGAATAATTCAGCATTTTTAAAAATTATGTTATCGGAAAAAGGAAGCTTAAAATGCACTTTCAGATTCAACAGCTGTCAAATCACTTTCTAACTTCACGCATTATTTTTCTCAGTTATAAAAATATCTGTTGAAATACTGTCACTTACAGAGGATTGTGACATCTCCCAGTCTGTGGCAGAATCTTTCAATCCGCTTTCATCCTTCAAGTACTTTTCAAAAAGTCGTTTGTTGATTGGCTCCTCCATATCAAGAATATCCAGGGCCTGCTGATGCTCTTTTGCAGCATACTAACCAAACATGTACATGTAAAAAACAAGGTTGGGTTTTGAATAATCTGTACATAAAGCAACAATAAACAACACAGCATCATGTTTCAAAGGCACAGATTGTTACAACCAGTTTTAATTTTATCAGCAAGTTTTTCATGCATGCATATGCTTAATTGGCCATATGTCATTTTATAATTGCAGTCAACTGTTTTACTGGTCACTTATAATATGCAAAAAAAATATAAAATGAGCACCTCCAGAAAAATCTATTATTCAGCATTATGCAATCAGAGAAAGGGATACGCTCCTAAAAACAGTTAACACAGGCTTTAATAAACTACCATCATCTTATTCTATAAGCTGTACATTATTCTATGTCTACATTTAATCTACCAATTGGTTCAGTTGTCTCTGTGAAAGCACTGCATTTCACTATTTATGTATCCCATTTTATACAGATGCATAAAGCTATTAACTATAGTTATATGACCATAAATCACATCTCCTCTGGTCAGCTTACAACCAACCCATCAAAAATGAAAACATGAAGACATGAGACAAAAAAGGTTCATGTTCTTCCCCCACAAAATATTAGAGGACTATTTCCTGGAAAAAAAGTCAGTTAGATTTCTTCAGAGTAGTACTAGAATGGATACCACAGTAACCAAAAACACTGCAAGTTAAAGAACGAAATCAACTGTCGCAAAAATTAAACCTGTTATTCCAGTGAATATAAACGTCTACATTGCCTTTCAGGTACCTAATCTTCCCAAGATGTGTCTTTCATTTAATTTGGTTTGCTTCCAATAGCGGTTAAAATGTGTACTCACATGACATCTAGCTGCAAGGTAGCGACACGCTTCATATAACTGAAAGAGAAGTTTCATACATAACAGTTACAAAGAGAAAGCATGTTTACTTACACTGCTAGACTCCGTTTTGCTCTCTCCTTTTTCACTTCTATGGCCTCTTCACCCCTTTTGCCACCAAAAGTCTTTCCTGACCAACATGACTAAGTCTGTAACATTTTCTCTACTACTAAACTCTCAAAGGACATTTAATTCACTGTTGCCTTCCCCACTCATTATCAGAGTGGAAGGACAATTGAAACAACTACATCTGAATCACAGAATCATAGAATCAGCTGGGTTGGAAGGGACCTCCAAGATCATCAAGTCCAACCCTTGATCCACTAACGCTGTGGTTGCTAGACCATGGCACTGAGTGCCACATCCAGTCTTATCTTAAAAACCTCCAGGGACGGAGAATCCACCACTTCCCTGGGCAGCCCATTCCAATGTCTGATTACCCTCTCTGTAAAGAAATTCTTTCTAATATCTAACCTAAACCTCCCCTGGCACAACTTGAGACCATGCCCTCTTGTCTTGCTGATAGTTGCCTGAGAAAAGAGACCAACCCCCACCTGGCTACAACCTCCTTTCAGGTAGTTGTAGAGAGTGATGAGGTCTCCCCTGAGCCTCCTCTTCTCCAGGCTGAACAGCCCCACCTTCCTCAGCCTCTCCTCATAGGCTAGAGTCACTTCACCAGCCCAGTTGCTCTCCTCTGGACCTGCTCCAGGACCTCAGTATCCTTCCTGAAGTTGCACTCCACCTTCCCATACCTACTGCAGTTACATTCTTGGACCCTTCTCTTTTCTGGGACCCTATCTGGGGACAACACTTTCAATCTGACCAATATAAAGGGGGCCATATAACCTACATCATGCAGGACCACATAAACTGTATCATGCAGGTTTTTCAAATTACTTTTCCCATAAATGTTATCCTCTGATGGAAGAAGTCCCTGTGGTTAGCAGCAGAGGTTTAAAAGAGGGCTAACATTAGTAATTCTTTGACTAAAATGACTTACCTTATCCAACTTACGTGATCGAAGGGCGTGTGCTGCCCTGTGATACTGAGCTGTTAGGTAAAGACATTGGGCCAGCCAGTAAATATCTTGTGGTTCCTCTAAAATAAAAGAACAAATTATAAACCATTAAATTACAATATATCTTTAAACACTTTCATACAGAATATTCACTTTTGCTTCACTAGAGAAGTACTTTTTCCCTATTCCAGCATTCTAATGAGTTATAAAGTTTTATTTTTATATATAAATACGTATAAACAACTCATCTACTACTGAGAGACTAAAATGAAAAAATAATCAGATTTTATCTTCGAAGACATCAGATAGTGCACTGGACAGTGAAAACAAAGAATGTCATTCTAGAGGTTTGACATGAAAAGGAGACAGTGATACAATGATACAGATCTAAAAAAGCAGCAGTTACAAGTTACCCTGCCCTTGGACACACGGTAGAAAAAAAAACAACCCAAAATTGTCTTTCTCAAAAAAAAAAGATCGGTGGGAATCTATCAACAGTGAAAGCACTAGCCTTCTGCAGCTTGATGTTACGATTCCAGAAGGACAGCTTAGTACCCTCCTACTTTACTGGCAACCAAAGCCTTTGTGGGATCAAGCCCCCAGAATCATTTTATGTGTAACTGGCCCATGGCCATAGACAGACACTGGCAACCAGCATCATCTCCCTTTGTAAACCTGCAGTCTACTTGTCACCCAGGACAATCATGAGTCCTGCAGGAAACCACCATGGTCTCTTGTATCTTTTGCTTTTTTTCTTTTTGATTCTTAAGGTAGGCAAACCTTAAGGTTTGGCCAAACATTAATTTTAGCACAAAGTTCAAAAGGGAAGGAAGATGAGCTCTGCTCTATTTGGAAAAATACCATTCCAAAGATCACAAAAAAGGACTTATACCAAACTCAGAACTACAAGATTTATACAAGTATTTATTTCAAAACCTTCAAAACAGAACACTATCGGAAAAAAAGTTAACAAAAACAAAGATTAAAGCAACCACTTACCATGAGAGAGTGAAGCTACTTTGTCAGCCCAAAACAGGGCACTTTGATACTGCTGCTGTAAAAGCATGACAGAAATAATTAGTATTCTTTTGGTGTTAGCTTTTGACTAGACCAGGTTGCTCAAAGCCCCATGCAACCTGGCCTTGAACACTTTCAGGGATGGGGCATCCACAATTTTTCTTGGCAACCTGTCCCAGTGCCTCACCTCCCTCACAGCAAAGAATTTCTTCCTGATATATCATATAAACCTACGCTCTTTCATTTAGAATCCATTCCTCCTTGCAATGATCATATAACCATTAAGTTTGGAAAAGACCTCCGAGATCATCAAGTCCAACTGCTGACCGAACTCCACTGTGACAATTAAACGACGTGGCCAAGTGCCACGTCCGCTCAGTTTTTGAACACTCCCAGGGATGGTGACTCCATCACTTTCCCTGGGGAGCCTGTTCCGATGCTTAACCACGGTTTCAGTGAAGCGATTTTTTTTTTTTAATATCCAAACTGAGCTTCCCCTGGTGCAACCTGGGGTCGTCTCCTGCCCAAGGTAAGCCCGGCACAGCTTGCACAACCCAGCAGGGCGAGATCCTGAAAATACGCCTTCGTTTCATAGCTACTCTACAGCCGGCTGTCCTCTTCCCCCTCCTCCTCCACGCGAGGAAAGCATCAGGAAAACCCACCAGGAGGCCCCGGCTCCCACTGGAGACCGCACAGGCGGCGCTTCCGGCCCGCCGCACCCCTCTCCCACTGCCACTCCCTCCCCTTCCAGGGAAAACGGGGCATAATTACAAAATTAGCACCCTCGCCGCCGCCGCAGAGCTCGGCACCGCTGCTCGCCCCGCCCCAGCCTCTCTCTTTGCGGGAGCCGCGCCGAGAGCGCCTTTTCCTCGGGGAAAGCCCGCGGGCCCGCCGCCCCTTGCCCGCTGCCCCCGCCGGGCGCTCACCTGGTCGATGTAGTGCCGCACGCGCTTCCTGAGCCGCTCCAGGTTCATCCTCACTCCCGTGCTGTCCCTGGATCGGGATCCCGGAGCCGCCGAGGGACCGCGGGCCGCCCGCCGGTGCAGCGCCCAAACCCGCCCCTCGCCTGCCTTCCCTCCCTCCCGCCCGGAAACAGCGCCCCGAGCACGGCGTTCCGGGGGAGGGGACATCCCCCCGCGCGGGCCGCTGGCCCCACACCCCAGTAAATAAATTAATTCTGAGACTTTTCTCTGCAGTCCATCCCCCGGCAAATTTATTCTGAGGGACTTCTTCGCAGTTTCGAAGTGAAGAACTGTCTCTGCCAGATTGCCAGCAGGCTTGAGGTGAAAATATTCCCCCAGGACTTAGCAGCGATGGTGGATGGTGTGCCGGGAGGTTTCCTACGAGTCCTGCATCACCCAGTCATTTTTGGTACCACACAGCTTAGGGAATCATTCTCCACTGCTGAAACGTGTCAGCTCTCACTACTGAAAGCCAAGTAACATAAACCATTAAGTTGCCTGATTTGAAGTAATTCAGGTGCCAGGCAATACACCTTGGAGCAGGTGTGCCTGGGACAAGGAGAGCAATCACCTGTGTTTGCTTGGATGAAGAAGGAAGAACTGTGTCACGGTTACAATGTGGAGAAGGCCACAAAGGCGGCAGGTGGTCAGAAGCAGCCTCCGTTTGAGAGAAATGGATCCATGTGCCCTCTCTTGATCTATTTGCAGTAGCTGCACTTTGATGGTAAACCTCTTTGATTTTAGTGATTTCCTCCAGTTATTAGTCAGGTCACCTTTTTGCCTCACACTGTGTCACTCTTTAGGAGCTGATTCTTCTCTGAGCTGTTGAGTGCGTGTGCTGCAGATGGCAGATACTTGTTTTATGCCTGCAGTAGCACATAGATTTATTTTTCTTTTTTTTCCTCAACTGCATTTGTATGTCTGCTCCTTTTTCATGTTTTGGTAACCAGAGCATTTTGCTTGGAGGAAAGCAAAATCCTTGTTCATCTTTCCATTAGAACACATAGTCAAGAGACTAATCCTTTTGATAGTGGTTTCTTTAGCACCAACAGTCCTATCTAGGGGGCTTTATCATAATTTTCAACTTCCCTAAAGATGCTTTTCGGGTGTACAAATAGTTTCCATGGCAGGATGCAATCAAGCTTTTGTACCTTCAACGCTCTGAAACTTGTGGATTATTATGACTGCTACCAATCCACTCATTGTATTTGTTGGTCTAAAAACTCTTTGAAATTAGTATGGTTAACAGCATATGTATTCATCAGCTTTTGGATCTTTGAGCGAGAACTTGATAACATTTAGAAACTGCTGAGTGATGGAACCCATTATTTGGTCATAAGTGGTGCATTTCCGTCAGACTAGGTGTAATAGTAACTCACCAGAGCTCAATGACTTCTGTTCAGTATGAGACAACAGGGCAGAAACCTGCAGTAACTCAAAGAAAACAGGATGAATTTAAAAATCACAGAATCATAGAATGGTTTGGGTTGGAAGGGACCTCCAAAGATCATCTAGTTCTAACTTCCTGCCATGGACAGGGACACTCTCCACTAGACCAGGTTGCTCAGAGCCCCATCCAACCTGACCTTGAATATTTCCAGGGATGGAGCTTCCATAACTTCTCTGAACAACCTGTTCCAGTGCCTCACCACCTTCGTAATAAAATATTTCTTCCTTATGTCTAGTCTGAATCTATGCTCTTTTAATTTAAATATCTCAGTAGAGAAACCAAGTTTGAAATATTAGAAATGCAGACAAAAAATTAAACAAAATATGAAAATTAGGAGTTGGTGCTAACCACTGAGATTAAGTCTTGGCTGGGGAAATGAAAAAAGATGCACAGGAAGTGTGGGGGTTGGAAGAGAAGAAAACGCTCTTATTGGGGATGGGTGACGGTTAAGAACAGCCATAGTCACAGGGAGCTGCTCTGCAGCACAGAGAGGACTTGTGATCTGTAGGATCTTGGAGGGGCCCAGGAAACACTCTGTGAAGGTGAGGAAACAGGTACAGAAATGCACATAGAGAATGCTGTTACTTTGTTAGCAACTATCTAGTTCTTCTGCTATCAATGCAGAGTACATCATCTCATGTTGCTCCATAATGTCTGTGTGTTATGTGCTGCTTTCTCATGTTCTCCTGAAAATTCATCTCGTCTGAGTGAGCTGTTTCTGGGACTGGAGCTTGGAGAAAGGTTTGCTTCAGCTATACTGGCACACTGCAGCAGTGCTGCTCCAGTGGCTCTGCTGGGGTGGGCTCCAGTCCCATTTCTTCAATGGGAAGCTGATCTGACATCAGTGCTCATGAAGTGGGTGGTCACTCAAAGAGAAAATCCTTTATCTGGATAGACTCTCAAGTTTTGCTCCTTCACTGGGAGTTATGTGGGTGTGTGGTCAAATAGATAGGGCTGACACATGGTGCTGTGAAGAGCAAGATCTTAGTGAACTGGTGATTGAGGCTTAAAAATTATTTTAGGTGTGAAATTAGGGAGGAATTTGAATTTTAAGTAGTTTCAAATAATAACATAAGTTTCTCTTTCAGACTCACAACTAGGAGCCAGCAAAACTACTCTAATGGTTAGGTGGTGTTGATACACCTATTGCTTTGCTAACAGTGCTTTTAATGGTTGTGAAGCTATGGAGAGTTGGTTAAAACAAACTGATTTACAAAATTTGCACTCGAGTATCTTAAATCTTAAGAGGAAGGGGAGGGCTCCACAGTCATATTAAAACTTTCTCACTTTGTGGAACTTTCCATATTTTTATCTACTTTCAGATATCTTTTTTCTTTTGTTCTAAAAATACCTATAGGTACCATATGTGCTGGTGCTATCACATAGCTTCCTCCTGATGCTTTCGAGTTACTGTTTCCAAGTGAGATTGATGCTTGCACACGTATTTTATATAATTACAGAATGGTTTGGGTTACAAGGGACTTTTAAGGTCATCTAGTTCTACCACCCCTGCCATGGGCAGGGGCACCTTCCACTAGGCCAGGTAAACTTGATCAAGTTAAAATAAGTATGTTTACTTTCAGTTTGTACATTAAAAAAGTTTTATTTGAGATTGAAAAAGCATCCTTGTTTCTGGCTTGAGAACTGTAACTGAAGTGAGGCCTCTGAAGCAGAGGTGTGTGTTGAGGTGGGAGAAGTTCCCTGAACGGATGTCAATCTTTCTGGGAAGGTTTCAGAGATGGCCCCTAACTCAGCTGTTTTGTACAGATAAGTGGAAAAAGTGAATGACCTTTTACTCTCCTCATTTCAGAATTTCTCTTCTTGATCCCTGCAAGCCCAAGCCCACATGGACTCCTTTTTCCAATGCTGTATACAAGTACTGCAGACCTGCCAGGGTGCAACCCTTGGCAATGCCCACTTTACAGAGACCAAGTATCTGAATTGCTCCCATGGCAGGACTCCCTCTCTGCTGCCTGCAGCATGGCTAAACTGGGAGAAAGGTGTTATTTTGATTTTGGTCTAAAAAAAGTGAATCTGGAAATGGACTGAACTTGATCAACTGAGAAGATCTGTGGTGTGCATGAAGGGGAAGAAGGATGGAAAGCAAAGCAATTGGCCTTTTTATTTTCTCTCCCAACAGTGTTCTTCAATTATCTTACAGAATTCTTGCCTTTTCATATAGAAATTTATCATCTCTTCTACTTCTAGGCTTAATAGCATGACATTACTTTCTGTACCTGATCTTTTACTTGATTGCCCACCATGAACTGCATAAGCTGTCAAGAACACAATCTGCAATTAAACTGAGTGTCTTTATTTAATTTTTCTACTTCTTATTTTAGCTTGACTTACACAACTGTGCTGCAAATCAGTCCTGCTTCTTCCACAACATTTCACCCATTAGTCACTGTCAAGCAAGTTTGACAGTTCTCCAATAACAAAGTCAGTTCCTACAAGTTTTGTGGAAGTCAGTGTCAAGATTAGAGACACGTGGACAGACAAGTGCCCCCTTCCCATCAAGGAAGGCTACAGCTTCAACTAAGAAGTTACCTGCTCCTTTTGGCCTGCTGGCAGTCCAGTGAGGACATGTATGGCTCTGGATCGCAATCAGAGATTGTGTCAGGAGGCCGCAAGGACGTGGGAGGACACGGACTAAAGGTACTGTGAAAAAAGGGAAGCTGGGTCTTGGCAAATCATTTGTGGGGGTATGTGGGTCAGTCCATAAGAAACCTGCCTTTGTTGGATCTGCTTCTTGTAGAACACTCTTTGCCCTGTGGTTATCTGTGTGATGCAAACCTATTGCAGTGACATAAAAAATCTTGGTATTTTTGTTTGTTCTCTGCTGCAGATTTTTATTCATTGCAGTGGTGATGAGTGAATCCCATTGATCATATCAAAATAACCAAGATCACACTTGGCTTTGTTTTTTCTAAGAGTTTAATTTTAGAAGAGTGGCCTTTTTCATGCTAATTTCTCTCCTTCATACATGCACTACTACTCCATTATGGCTAGCAGAGGTGACTAGGATAAGCTTAAGGATGTTTAATCCTTCTTGCTCGGGAGTCAAAAAAGAGAAATCTGTTTTAAGGAAATGAAGAAAACACAATTTTATTTTTGCTTTTTCGTGCTGCTCACAATAAAATGTAAAGCCTTCAGGATAAATTTTAACACTGAGAAATAAATAAATATTTACATTACAAAAAGTGACTTTTATTACAAAGCTGTGCTACTGACTACAGTTAGGCTCCTCTATGTAAGTTTACAGAAATTGTAAGAGTATGTGTAGAAGTAAGACTTACCCTATAGAGTTATTTTTTGCTTCATTACATTTTCTTTTAAATCTTATTTCCCTTAGATTTCTCTTGAGGAACACTTGAATTGATTACACTGGCCAGTATTCCTCCTCTCTTGTGGTGTCTGTGTAGCCATAGGTGGTGAGCTAAGCTAGATGTACTGGGAAGCAGATGAGATGCTCTTGGCTTGCTTTGACATCAGTCTCAATTTTGTCATTTTCCTGTTTCCTGTTGTCGGTTTCTGTTGCCAGTGGAGCAAAACCTATAACGCTGCTGACCAAGTATAGTGTCTGCATTAGGGAGAGCTGACTGGCTTACTGGACTCCGTTGGTTGTGTTAATTAGA